TTCCTTGTGCTTGAGGAGCTAGAGTTGAAAATACATTCGGGAACTCAAAAATGCTACGGAATGAGATCGCACTCACAGCATGTGCACCGTACGCAAGACACCCGCGCAATATCGACATATCTGTTAAGACAATCGTTTAGATGCCCAACGAAGAATAAGCTAAGCCACTCACTCCAGTGCAGCGTTGTGTCAGATGGAACAAGATCGTGTGTTGATGTTGTTCTAATGCTGGAAGCTCCGTACTTGAGCTCCTCTTGTATGCGTGAGATACACGACGGCAAAAACTTATCCAACGTCTTCTGGGGTTGGGCGCGTGCCAGGCATGCTACAAGCTGCCCGAACGCTCGGATAGCGTTAGACTTCGCGTTTGTCGCAGCGTAGTCGAAAACAAGATTCAACACGAGATCGAATAGTTGGTCTGAGAGGTGCAAGGTGACCACGTCAAGCATGCTCTTGATCGACTTCAAAACTGTCTCTTCCGTTTTTCCGCCGGTAGTCTTCTTCTTCCCACCTTCCTCAGGGAGATTCTCGTATAAAGCTAGAACTCTACGAAAGAGGGATGTCACCCAGTCTACTGGGGAGTGAGTCGCTGTCCTTCACTGAAAGGAAACAATCACACCTGCGAAGCCTGCCGTGCTCTCCCGGACAAGAGTCCTCTCTTCTCGCTTGCTCAGTGAAACAAATGGGCTCATTTCGACACCTTCAGGGATGTGGGTGTCCTCGGTATCGACCTCCATCAGCTCCTCGCCTGGCGCATCTCCAGACAACGTGAAACCAGAGTGGTGCATGGAGAGATCTCCGACCTTCACATGCTGCATGGTGCTGACGATGAATAAAGTAGCACAGACAGTCTTGTTGGGGTCGTTCTAAACACCACGTGATGAGTAACAAGTGCACACCATGGGGATGTAAAGTATCTTACCAGATCAATGCCAGGAAGGCAGAGTTCGAGAAGAGGAAGTAAGTGCTTTTGTCCCGGCCTCCATATCATCTCTGAGACAAGCGGAAGTGAAATGCCGGACAACATCTTCAACACTGCGGTGGTGCGGTGGGTCTCATTTACCACTTCCAGACCACCGTAGGCACGCTCAAGGAGCTCAGGCATGATGAGCGTCGGCTCAAGCAATGCCATAGTGCGCAGTGCACCTTGTGCCATACTAATAGAAAAGGAATCCTTGGAAAACATGGCAAGGAACGCAGGCGTGCGTAAAACATCGACGAACGCTCGCCGGAGAGAAGGAGTGAGACGGTGTGCCTAAATTGTGCACGTGAGTTTACTGCAACGAGCTCTGGTGCCATACGTACCACGGGAGTTTTGCACGAAGGCTGCTGTTCTTCAAGCCATCTGTCGGCAAACTCGACGGTAAGACGTTGCAGCAAATTCGTGAGCTAGCGGGAATATTAGCAGAAGTCCACCTATATCAGTACGATACGTACTGTGAACGTCCAGTGGCCGGAGTTTGATGGATGAAAGAAGGATTCTGTGCTTGTAATCAGTTTGTCTAACGAGTCAAGCGCCTTCGAACCGGCCAAGTATCCCATCGGCTGGCTGTTGGGAGACCCAGGAGTGGATGCGGAATCTCCGCGTATTGGACCATCGAGGGCCATTGAGTATACAAATAGTTTAGCCAGGAAACCTGCAGAATTCAGAATTACTCTAATGTGGCACAGAAGATCTGAAGACACTGACTGATCCTACTAATTGTTTTCTTGACCTTGGAACCTTGGCGTGCCGCGGTAGCATCTGCCTGAACAGCTGTAGCAGCGACATTCTGCTAGAATTGAGTTGTATATTACTGTGTGAAGGGAGAAAAAGAAATGACTCACGCTCGAATTGCCCACAGGGACATCTATTGTAACAAGAAGTCAGCGGGTCTTGACCAAGTGTACTAAAAAAACCTACATAGCGACTCGATCCCTTTACTAATAAGCATCAACCACTCTTCTTGTGTCCAGATACCGATATCTTTCCATGCGGCACCTCCTTCCTCTCCCGCAAGTCCTTCCTTACCAGCGACATGTTCCTCCGCGAGGATTCCGGCGAATTCGAGAAACCTATCGTCCATGATGTGCGAATTGAAAGCTTCCCAGATCCTGAATATCACTGGAAGGTAGATATGTGTGTGGGTTGGCGGAAGGAACGATGTGAGCACGGGAATCATCGTCAGAGTAGTCTGGGTAGCATTAGTCTGAGTCATCAATCCCAAGAGATCTAGGACTTACATCGGGCGTGAGGATAGGCAAGAATGTCTCGAGCATATCGGGAATATCAGTCGCAGGGAAATAGCGCTTACAGCTCTCCGCGACATATAGCAATATATTGTTTAAGTTACGATTTCCCCTGCACGCATTGGATTGAACATTGGCATATGGACATGGTTGTTGTGTACTTACTGAAATTCTGCGAGGCGGCTCTTGGGGAACAGCTCTTTGTACAATACATCCCATAGGGGTTTCCAGGGGAGTTGGAGGTCAGTGGCCTCAAGTTTGCGTTTAACAGTCTTGGATCCCAAGAGACGGTACAACATATCTGCCCAGCTACGGATGACCCGTACCTCTATGCCAGGCAGAAGGCATAATTCGTAATAGAAGCGGACCAATGCGGCGCGGGTGGAGGTCGTCATGGGATAGCGCATCTGCAGCCAGCTGGAAGCGGGGGTGAGTGATTTTAGATTGTGTATAAGAATGACATACCATTGCAGGATTGCATCCCAGGTGGTGAGGACCAACCAATTCTTGGATTTAGCGCAGACTATCAACTTTCCAACTATGTACTCAAGCTTAGCTTGCATGACATCGATGGACTCGCACTCGTAAGGGATGGAATCAATATAAGTCTGGAGAGTAGCCTTTTGCTTCTCGTATGCTGAGCGATCAGAGACGAGTTCCGCGGCAATATCATCGGAGGGTGACTCGAGGACGTCCATGGACGTACTATCTTCTTCGTCCATGTAAACGGAAAAACCACCTGAAGAAAACTCTTCTGCAAACTCGCCAATGAGATCACTGATATCAAGTGACATAAAGGAAGACGCTGATTATGATAGAAAGCAGTTATGAGAGAATTTAAAGATATGAAGTCAGTTCCCGCGGTAGAGCGATATCTGAAGGATAGAAGTACTGAAAGAAACGGAATTGATTGAGAACGTACGTGTTTTTATATTGGGGATGGATTTCCAGCTGACGCGTCGTCTATCTGCGGATTTGACTTGTTTAGGAGGATTGCGTCGTCTCCCGGATGAGAACACAAGTATTACTCACTCCGTAAACGCCTGACGCTAATACTCCCACGTGGTTCTCCCGGCGGTCCTTCTCTAGGCACAACCTCCATATGTCTCAATTTTTGCGACCGCTGGCAATTTTCAGCTCCTCATGGTCTCGTTCATGTATAACAAGAACTTCCAAACAGTCTAGGTCATTCGTGAAACCGTTACTATGGGGTGCTACTGTTTCCATACTTTCAGCCGCATATGCGGTACAGAGCACAACCACTGTCCATCTGGATGCCGAGCCATCCCTGCCCGACTCCGAATTCGAGAGTATGTTTCACCGCATGACTGGGCTACTAGTCCGAGAACTTAAAACTTCATATAGTTGATCCCGCAACATCAATTGCTTTCCCCAAGACCCTTCGTATACCCTCAAAGTTCCCTTTGCCTCAGTTCTCACTCGTTGGCGTTGGGGTGAGAACTGTGTCATTCCTTGGCATAAAGGTGTACTCTGTTGGTTTTTATGCCGACCTTGCTAATCCAAACCTGAATGTAACATTACTCCTCCGCCCTCTTGCATACTTATTCCTGATAGATACTCGATAGATTCCCATGACTGCAACTCCTGAAGAAAAAATCGAGCACATTGTCCGCAATACCGCTTGCGCCATCCGAATAGGCAAGTCCCTACTGTACTGAGCACACGCCGTGGTTACTCTGAACTTCACTCTGCTCAGTACCCACTCGCGGCACATCTTACTCACATCTCCGTGATGGCTTCATGCGCGCTCTCACTGCGCGTATGCAGCTCGCACATACACGTGCTACAATCACTCCGGCAGAGGAACCTGCAGCCCAGTCTTCTTTGAGGACATTGAAATCCCTTTTCCCGACTACATCAATGTCAAAGGGCAAACCATTTGACATTGTACTCCTTGCGCCGTTGCGCAGCCCACCCCGCCCACGTACTCTGATACTTAAAGATATGGGTTCGGTGGAAAATGATTGGGTAGCAGAGGAATTCGTCCTGGCATATTTCGAAGGTAATGGGATTAGCCCTCCAGTAAGTTTCTTCCTCTGTATTCCATGATCTGGTTGACAAATTCTTGCACAGTTGAAGAAAGCTGTTACAGAGCGTATGCAAACGTTTGGAAAGTAGCAATAACTCTAGTTTACTGAAGACATACCCACATGCAAATGGTGACAATAATGTCACTTGCTATTAGCCCGACATCGCATCCCGTTTAGCTCAGTTGGTAGAGCGCGTCACTAGTAATGACGAGGTCAGTCGTTCAAATCGGCTAATGGGAAAATTAGTAAGTTGGTAATTTTTAAAACCTCTATGATGGCCAGAAAGTCGGATTCCACTCGAGTTCGCCGGGGATCTGGTTAGCCATAACGACGGGAATGGAACTACCGCTGGATGTACTAAATAGCTTATTGAATCATTATCTGGTGTATGCCCGATGCCTGTAGTTATGAATGTTTGTAATGCATAATACTTACTAACTGAGCGAAACCTTTTCATGAATAGATGACTTCAATATGCTGCCAGGAAGAAACTCTTCAGTGCTACGCAACAAGCGAGGGCATCAACGATACCCTGATGTGTTTATCTGAACATCTTATTTAATCTTTATCACTTGTTTATACAAAACCGTTTGCCGGGCGCTAGAGGCCAGTGTCACAACGCTTGACAATATACAATCTTGTTCCTGACAAAAGAGCACAAATACGATTATCAGAGCGCTATGGAAATGGACAGGTCTAGTAGGTAGGGAGATGCAAAGCTCATCTCTCCAGACACGCATCATCGGATAGACTTTGGTCACAGATAACTTGTGCAGCGGTGCCATTGGTATAAGAATCTGCTGGTGATCCGGGGCTGGATAATGACGGGAACGTGCTCGGATTCAACCCAGACTCGACTAACCGTTGACGTCCTAGGAGGGCTGCAGGGTAGACAAGGGAAGCCATCTCCGGAATTTCCAGTCCCTTCAATTTGATTTCACCGACAGGGAGAAAAACCGTCTGCAGTTGCCGGATTTCCTCGATAGCCCGAGCTGCCTGAGGTTTCGAGGCTAGACCGCAATCGAACAAACTCGCATTGACTTCGCGAACAACATCGGCGCTGCACATGATTTGTCCACCCAACGCACTGGCACTGATACGGGCGCATCGGTTGACCATAGACCCAAGATAATCCATGCGGCAAGTGATAGGATCTAGTTCGCACGCTGGGGTTCCAGAGTGGATGCCCATACGGACGGAAAGGCCGCGTGCAAGAAGGTTTCCGTGTTCATCGTAGACCTCTTTGCCTTCTTCACAATCTAGTATTTCTTGAGGCCAGGGTACGTGAAGAAGTTGAATCTGGGCAGTAACACACCACCATACCGCGGCAAGGGTTGTTGGAAAGGCGCACATAAATGAGTCGCCTTCTGTCTTGACCATGTAGCCACCGCAATATAGAAGATGTTGTAAGAGAAGATTGTTGTGCAAATGTATCGCTGTCGACATGGCAGGATTCTTGTCCCACAGTTGGGTTGAATTCCGTATGTCTGTGAATACCAAACATACATGTCCTGTGGGCGGTGGCACCTCCCTTTCCAAGCGAGCAATAGTCTGAACCAGAGAAACCTTCGCTTTCCCAGATACAGCAGATGGCGCCTTGTCCTTTTGGTGAGCTCTGAAATCAGGCATGAGCGTAGCCAGGGATGCATTCTTTCCAGTGGCATCGGCGATACCATGCAACATTCCATTCGCATCTATCCGAGAAGCTCGAGCACGATGTTGGGCAGTCTTTTCGGGATCATCGTGGGTAGAAGGGGCCACAAGATCTATCGCATCAGGAACAGGACAATGAGGCAGCCAAGAAAGGTTGGACAGCACTCTTCTGCCTTCATTCCCTCCGTGCAGTTCACGATTGTTCTGCAGAAAATCCAATTTTTGGTTTCCGAAGATGTCGAGGGACGTTAAGTCACAGTTGAAATTGCTGCGGTAGCCATGAAAAAATAACTCGTATATGTTCTAAAAGTTGAACATACCAATTTGCAAATCCCCAACGATGACCGTACCTTGACGAGCAGAGGCTTGCAGTGGAATGCATAGTGATTTGGATGGTGATTGGTAATTTGGATGGTGATTTGGATTTGGATAATGCTTTTTCACCAGTGTATGAACGGCAAAAGTGGAGGAGCCCGCCATTATATAGGCGTGGCGGCATTCTCGGATGTGATGGATAACGGATGTTTCGGAACTTTCGTCACATGATACATACCGAGGAGTCGAGTGTTTACCTCTGTTGAATCGTGAAGCTGCTGACTAAGCTAATACGCTAGTGCAGCTTCAAAGAGCTTGACTTCAGATCCAACGATTCCGAGATCCTTGGGTCCTTCATTTGAGTGGCATAGGAGTGTTTCTCAACTGCAATGTCCAGTATGATACATCGAACAGTCAAAATGGGGTGTAAATTGTCGCTGAACGTGTCGAGCCGCGCACATACGATGTACCAGCTGCATTATTTGGCAGCCCACGATCCACTATTATGCTTGATCCCAACTTTCCCATAGATTATTCTTGGAAGGCACCTCAGGTGTGAGCTTTTAGTGAGCAACCGAGAAGTTCATCACCTCGCCGGGCGTAGCAGAAGTCAGCCGAGCTAGAAAGCGCTTCGCAAATGAGCCTGATGATGGCTCCCCAAACAAGAAAAGAAGCAGCGAACATGGATTTACTGCAAGAGTAGCCTGAGTGCAAGGGTAGATGGGGCATGAAATATCATGAAGGAAGGGGTTGAGCATGTTCGTGATTTCTTTGGAAGGAGAAAGATTCACCTTGCGTTTCATTGCTTAGGAATGCTTTGCAACACTACAGTTACTACTGGTCAACGGTGGTATCCAATATCACGCTGGAGTCTGGACGCCATGAATATTATTGTATCTTCTGATCAGAGTAAAAGATGTGATTGTTATGATTATTCATACCTTTTTAGTTCGTTTTTTTATAACGCGATCTTCGTAGTCGGTAATTGTAATTGACATTCGAATATCTGCCTGTTATTCTGGTCCTACGCCAAATTATGTTAATAAATGAACGCATGAATTTTTATTTGGCTATCTACGCAACTTGAAGCTTGAGTGTCCACAGAAATCACGTGGGTAAGCGCGACGCGCTTGTGGCTAAATATAACCCTCATCATCATTGTTGATTGATCCACTGGCAGGTGCACGTGCCGAAATGGATTGATATATAAGAAGGAATCGCGTTTAGTTTGTGGCTTGCGGACAACATCCATCTTCACTATCAACTTACCTCAAGTTTCAACCTCCAAATTTTTCAATGGCCCGTACCAAGCAGACCGCCCGCAAGTCAACTGGAGGTAGGAACATTTGATCGTATCCAAACTTCATCTTAACTGTGTTGAACAGGCAAAGCCCCCCGTAAACAATTGGCATCCAAGGCAGCTCGCAAGACCGCCGCTGTCAGTCGACCCTTCCACGCTTTCCACCACGCCTGACTCACCAATTCGATCCTTTGACAGGTCCCCGCTGGAGGTGTCAAGAAGCCTCATCGCTTCCGCCCCGGTACCGTTGCGCTCCGTGAAATTCGTCGTTATCAGAAGTCTACGGAGCTCCTCATCCGCAAGCTCCCATTCCAACGTCTTGTGCGTGAGATCGCACAGGATTTCAAGGTTAGCACCGTCTTCCTGAATCTATATTATTTGTATGGTAACCGAGCCATCCAGACCGATCTCCGCTTCCAATCCTCTGCTGTTATGGCACTCCAAGAAGCCGCCGAGGCTTACCTCGTCTCGTTGTTTGAAGATACGAATCTCGCAGCTATTCATGCCAAACGTGTCACCATTCAGCCTAAAGACCTCGCGCTTGCTAGACGCCTACGTGGAGAGCGATCATAAGTTAGTGACTGAATAATAATTTTAGAGTGTTGTATTTGTCTTGTATTGAATCGGGTTCTGAGCTTCTGTATGAATGATACTTTTCTTCTGCCCAAGATTATTTCTTTCAATCCCAGACGCCTGTGAGAAATATGGGTGGTGCAGACCGGTATCAGCATGCACATGCATGTCGGGCGTCCACGACAATATTTCGAGTTATATAGCTTGTCCATGTCAGCCCTCGGTCAAAATTAGGCGGTGACCGATCGCCGGCTATTTTTGGGTAATGCACTTTCGGATGCAATCCAGAACGTTAACCTTACCATGACCTCCATGGCGAGGCTTGCACGTCAAGTCAATACGCTTTGCACTCGTTCGCGGCCATCGACCAACATCTTATTTTCACATCGTCACCGTCACCAAATCTATGCATTTGGATTATGTCGCAGGTCATTTGTGACTCACCAAGACGCTGCCTCTTCATTACTTTCTTCTGCGCTTGACCAGAAACAGCGCGGGACGCGTCCGAACCGAGAGGACTCAGTAGGGCCGTTTGCGCTTGGAATATCTCAAGGATCTCTCAAGGGAAAGAAAGTAAAACAATGGTCCGAGCTGAGCACCGGTGGGAAGGGTGCGCATGAATTCTCACATTTTCTTACAGATCCATCATGATGGACTGTGATTGATCCTGTTTATTTACACAGTGATTCGAACAACACAGCGTACTTCGAACCTTGCCGTTATTCTTTTGGGTGCCGGGCTTTCTGCCGTGCTCATATATGCCCTTACATCGGAGTTGTTCTCAAGGAACTCGCCTACCGTCCTTTTTAATGATGCCTGCGACCGCATTAATGCATCTCCTCGGGTATGTCCTAAGAGTTTGAGTTTAAATTAATATTTGATTTTGATATGTACAGGTTGCAAAATACCTACGAGCACCTCTTATATTCCACAATAACCCGCCCTCCTCCACACGACCGAGGCACAGGCATAGGCATGTTTCATCTCAGGTCGCGGTAGATTCTTCAGGGCGAGAACACATGCTCCTCAACTTCTACGTACAAGGGTCGTCCTCCGCTAAATCAACTCAGCAAGCTGATGAAGAAGCGGGCCCTTCATACATTGAGTCCCTCAGCTCCCTGACTCTAGATGAAACCATAGGCCTTGCGAAGGAGAAACTCGAGTCGATTGGACAATCTGCAAAACGTGCATTCAGATACTTGAGTGGCGATGCCACTCCATTGCCCGCACCTCACCCGCAACTGTCGACTAATGATAGACAGGAGAACGAAAGAAAACAGGAGAAGGGCATGTGGAGCGTTGCTGGGCTGTTCTCAGGTTTGAAGGGACGGAGAAGTGTAGCTGAAGGTGCAGGAGACTCAGGCGTTCCGTGGACAGAGGGAGAAGTTCATGCGGATCTTGTCCGGGTATGTAAACCTCCAAAGAATTCTTCGTAAATCTTCATGTGAAACACAGAACGACGACGGCTACTTCGTCTTCCGGTACCTCCTGATCGACATACCACGTATGCCACTTCGTTGATCACTATCATCTTCCACTGATGCCAACGCTTCGACTTTAGATTCCGAAACCCGGAATCCAGTGAGGGTATTCGTTGAACGAGCACCAGGTGTCCGGGAGAATGAGCCCATCATGCGGTTCACTTCGGCATGAATTGCTACACCCTAATACTCAATTCGAAGGTAGGGGAGAAGAACATCCATTCTCTAGGCATAGTAGACTCTGCTTGCCATGTACATCTGTATTATATGGTACACATGGACATTCAACCCTAGCGATGTGAGTAGTGTAACAAGGCATACACTCTCTACTCGCCGAAAAGCTTCTGAACGCGCTTCAATACCGAATCTTTCGAAGGGTCTGCGTTGTCATGTTAGTACAGGGTATGTGGAGACTGGGCGTGTCCTGTGCTCACCGTATGGATGATCCTTGGAGGGTATCTCGAGCAACGTAGGGAATGCTTCTTGGTAGCGGTCTACTGTCGGTCGTATCTTCTCTGCTATCTAAAAGTACGCGTCACATTCAGGTCAAAGATACGATCTGGGAGGTTTGATCTCACATGCTGGTTGATGAGGACAATTGCAATATCCTTCCGTTGGGTGAACTCCTGGAACGCAGCTTCGATCCCCGATATTTGTGTTTCTGGACTCGTTCGTGAGTGTGAGATGATGTAGAATACGCCAAAGACCTCACTAGAATCTACGACGAGGAAGTTCTTCCTCTGGTGCTCGTTGATGTGGCCGACGCCTGCAAGAAGCAGTCCCGTTATCGAGTCCTGGCAATGTGAATCTCAATGTTAACTAGCAGAAGTAAACGTACCTCATCTCCTATGACAGCGATGAGATTTCTGTCCTTGAAGGCCGTGGTCGACGCCATTGGTGTTCTGTGAACCAAGAAAGGAAATGAGTCGGGGGACTTTTGCTGACAAACACAGTCCTCAACGATCTTCAGTGAGCTCCCCTAATCAGTAATTGGATCCATAAAATAAACGACAGTCTTTAACAAGTGTTTTTCAATAATCTATGGCGATGGACATCTTCAACCGCCCACCTTCGATCTCAGAGGACACAATTCAGTATACTCTTTATCCCCCTCCAGCACTAGGAGAAAAATCATCTGCAACGACACTCGCAGTATGCGTAGAAGCATATGTCTCCGAGCTTTTGCCAAATTTTATCTGGCACAGAGACCCTTTCGAGGTAAAAGTCGCGAAAGACATCGATTCCGCTGCAGCTTCGGATAACAAGTGGATGCTTGAAGGGCGTATGCGCGTCGGGGACTCAGTCGATGACGAGTGGTGCGTTGTCTGGATCCTACGGGAGGTCAGCAAGAAGTGGGATTTTGCTATTAGGTCAGATCTTGATCTCGGCGCGACTTATCTCGGGACTAACAGTGCGTATTAGCGTAATGGATTCTGACGGGGAGTTTCTCCTCATTGAGGCAGCCGAAACCCTGCCTTCATGGGTCAAACCGTCCAACTCCGAGAATAGGGTGCGCCCTCTTCCCGTACTTTAGATGGTAAGACAGTTTGCTGAATTTGTTCTTGGTCCTCTTACATCATAGGTCTGGATATACAGTGGAATTTTACACCTGATACCTCTCCAACACGTATCTGCTCCAAGTAAACCAAAACGAAGACGCAGATTCCCTGGGTCTAAAGACAGTGATGACGAAGGTGACATTGTTGGCGATGACCTTGAAGAATATTTGGCCATCGATGACGCACTGAAGCTGGTCCGCGATGCAACTGTCGAAACACGTGCACCTCGTACAGTTGAGAATATGGTATGGCAGCGTATTTCTGGGTAGGAAATTTTTTGGATTGTGCGCGACGAACTATTCATGATCTTCGGGAAAGTTATCCTGCAGCAGCCAAAAGCCACGTGCATACCACCAAAGCGTACCTTCCGCTTGACATTGCTCGCACTTTATCCGTAGACCCTTCGTTGGTACAAAAGCCCGTTGAGACATTTTACACGCGTGATGCCGTCCAACTACGAGTCAGTATATTTGACTCTCCGCGACATCGTTATTCTGATGAGAATTCTGCAGGCTGCCCATCGCATGACACGGTTCCCTCCTCACTCTGCCGTGCTTACCACAGTCAAGTTGACAAGACCAGCATATGCTCAACTTGTTGGACAAAAATTCTTCCCTCCAAAGATATTTGGTCATTTCAAGGAGCGCGAGGGTAGCGACGTCTGGCGTTGGAGGGACATAGGTATGAAGCTGGCAAGTCAAGACATTCGCTATTCTGGAACATGTCCATTGACAAAGATACTATGACAGGCTTGCGGTTTCGAAATGATCTACCAAGAGTCGAAGAGTCGTACTGGTATCGCAAGTAAGACTAGTGAGGTGCTCGAATCATCGGTATGTACGCCTGACTTAGCCCTCCGTTGTCATACTAATCGCGTGCCCTTAGGCAGAAGCACGTAAAGAAGCACTTCGCCGATCATCCGACTATCAGGCCTACATCACAAATTTGCTCTCAACCGGCTACTTCCGGGGTGAAGTCGAAGACTCGCAGCTTTGGAATGAACTGGAAAATAAAGCCGCTGATGCGTTCATTCAGGTTCGGCAGGAGGAGTGGGTCATTCGATTTCACTTTTGACCTTGAAGCTGATGTCTTACCAGCGACGCTACACGTCCTTCATTCGCAGCGCTGTTCAATTCAGCATTGTCAATCGCCCCGCAACACCTCACTGAGATGCCTGATGAGGCTGAAGACTCGGATGACTGGATGAACGTGGACGCAGCCAACTTTGATGATATGCTGGAGCGGACACGTTCTCAATCGCAGTCTCAAGAGATGGAAGTTGATTCCACATCTGATCGGGCAGAGCAAAGGATAGCTAAGGAACAAGCAAACAAACTGCAGGACCTTGCAGCCAAGGTGCAGAAGTTTGTTGAAGGAGAGGGTGATGTAGAGGGTGCTAGGTTTGAAGAGTAAGCTTCCACACACCAGAGCCTTCCAGAGACTAAGTCTTCTGTTTCTAGTGAGGCTTTCTCAGACGACGATGACGGCGGAGATGATGCAGACGAAGAAGATGAAGAGAATTTCAGTGATGAGAAATTTTCAGACTCGGACGATGAAGATGAGCTAGTTGCCGACGAAGCTGCACGCCAAGAAGCAATGGCGAAGCTTGTGCCTGCCCTTTCAGAGGCCGAGTATGGACAAATGCCCGCTTCATTCAACACTCAACGTGTCTCCAAAGTTACTATCGAGACTGAAACAGTCGAGGAGAACGATCCAGCTATCACACAATTTTCGGCTGCTGAACCCGCTTTGGAAATTACGTCGCCAGCTCGCACTCGGTTTATACGGCCACCCATTCTGCCGCGTGACAAGTACGAGGGTGTAGATTCTGATGATGAATCATCTAGCTCTGATCCGCTTGCTGGTGGAGATGAAGAAGATGTAGAGTCAGAGGAGGACCGCCCGCAGGTTGTCGGCGACGTCGAAGTTGACATGGACGAGGAAGAAGCAGAGTTCCTAGAGTTTTCAAGGCAAGCTTTGGGCATATCTGACCAACAGTGGGGAGACATCATCAAGGAAAGGAAAGGACGAGGAGGTAATTACTAATTGATCTGCCGAAGATCTTGCTAATGAGCACTTTTACAGCCTTTGTTCCCACCAGCATCATGGTGGAGAACACAACATCTACCTCAACAAGATCATCGACCAATAAATCTGAATCTTCCGCGCCACCAGCACAGGGACGGCAACCTGTCCCTGGCCCGAGGCCGAATGTGAATCCGAATCTGGATTCCTTTGAGGCTGTCATGCAAGCTATGGATGCCGAACTGAACCAGTCTCGCCAGACAACCCTGAAAAAGAAGAAAGGGAAGGGGAGGGTTCCGACCCTCCCTACAGGCGACCCTGAAATCTCCGGCAAAGACATTTCCAAATCGAAGTCCATGGATGAAGACGGTGAGGAGGATCTAGACGTCGAAGCTCAAATGGAGGCTGAGCTCAAAGCCATGCTCGAATACGGAGGCGTAGATATGGAGGAACCTGACTCTGGCGAAGAAGAGGTACCGATGGACTACAACCTTATCAAGAATTTCTTGGAAAGCTTCAAGAGTCAAGCGGGTCTTTCTGGACCTGTGGGAAATCTTGCAGGTCGCTTGCAGCCAGGGTGGACATTTCCAAGGGATGATTCATGATTTATTGTGCCACCCACACGCGGGCTGTTGGGAACTGAGACAGAGAAATCTATGGAAATGTCAATGATGTCTTATCGTTGTAACGGCGACAGAGCGAAATGAGCGCCTGTCTATTCTTTGTACTTTGTGAGAAAAACCAGTACTGGGTCTCTACTGTGTACTGTGTAGCTGTGCAGTAGCGTTCTTGTTGCCAATCTAATCTAATCTAGAACTGAACTAGAACAATAGTCAACCCCTAGTAAACTACGAACCGGAAGTTGTCGTGGACCGCTGCTTTTCTGCTGTATTCCGAGTAAGAGGATCACGCAACAGTCACCATGATCCATGCTGTGCTCATCTGTTAGTGAGATCTCTGGTCGTGTCGTTCTGCACTGACATATTCTGCTTTGCAGTCAACACATCCGGGATTCCAAGGCTGACCAAGTTTTACACACCCCTCCATCAGTCTTCTCAGACATTGATACAGAAAATATTCTCTCTCATATCCATCCGGCCTGCAGGACTCTGCAACTTTCTAGATGCACCGGAGCTCGAGGCGTTTCTTGGCCCCAAGGATGGTTCAGACGAGAGATGGCGCGTTGTCTACCGAAACTACGCCACTCTGTACTTTGTCTTCGTCGTCGATGGTGCAGAAAGTGAACTGGGCATACTAGACTTGATACAGGTGAATGTCGCTTTCGTAGTCGTGCCCATGTTGTGACGAACTATTCTAGGTTTTTGTGGAAGGGCTCGATAGGCACTTTGAGAATGTCTGTGAATTGGACTTGGTGTTTCATTTCGACGAAGTAAGTTTTATGTGCTTTTTACGAATGCGCTCTGATGACTGATGGTTGTGGATGCGCAGGCGCATCACATTCTTGCAGAAATCATACAAGGCGGTCTTGTCTTGGAGACCAATGGAGATGAAATCAGTAACTCAGGTCTGTAATTTTTCCATTTGAAACGATCATGTACAAGCTTAATCTGGCATTCTGATATTAATGAATACTTTGCAGTGAAGCTAGCTTCGAAGGCCAGAAGGAACTCATTTGCATCATCAAATCCTTTGTCTCTAGGCAGCGGACCCGGGGGTCCGCGAAGCGGATCTCTGCAGACTCCACTAGGATGGTTGACTGATAGGCTGGCAGGTGTCGCCACTCGATAAGCTGCTAGGAATAAGTCTCATGTATAGTTCGGCGATGTTAGTTGTACAGTGTTAAATAAAGATAGTAGGTTTTCACAACCCCCAATTCAACTACAACACCAATTGTAGCTCCAGGTCCCAATCTGTCCTATTCTTGCTAAAAGAACCATGGTATGATGAGGCGTAGCGGTAATGAAGCCCGCAAAGCTCCGAGAGGAATGATATTCGACGTCAATACTCACGTCAAATGCCAGTCGTCTGCATGGAGATGTGGCACAGGGACTGCGACTGGTTTGTAGAGGTCGGAGGCCATCAACTTGCTCCGACAGCCAACAAGGTGCCTAATTTATCACATAACATTCGCTTATGAATGCGCGAGCAACAACACCGATTTCGATTAAACACATACGCTTTTTCTTCTTTTTACCAGCACCAGGCGCACCCTTCGGTGGAAGTGTGTCTTGGGGTGTGGGACCGCTGGCTGGGGTCGCCGCTCTGGTCGCCGTAGGTGCAGGTGTGGCTGAGGAACGTATCCCCAGCGACTCAGGGGGAACACTATCTCCATCTCTGACAGAAGCAGAGGAAGAAAAGGATATTTTTGAATGAAACGCAGTAGACCTCATTGCGTTATACATCAACATATTGTTCTGTTGCTTTTTTGGTCCACTGGCCATTAAAGTGGGTTTCTGACTTTCTGACTGTGACGTGGAGATCTCCGCCTCGCTTGCAGCAGTCGCAGAATCCTCTCCACCCCATTTTTTGGTAGTGTCATCGGACATGGCCTGCTCCGTGATCGGCCAGATAAATCCTGTGCGAGGGGTGTAGTCAGGTCGATTGATGCGCAGTATGTCTAAAGAAGACTGCAGAGCGTATAGGGAAGTAAGCTACAAGAAGATAAGCCGAAATGAGTATGGTGTAGGAGTGGCAATCTGTGGGAACATACCAAACGGTTGGAGAGAACGCCATAGACATCCGGCGAGCGATAGATTCGATTGTTCATGATAAAATAAGCAGCAAGAGGGCGAACTAGTGCCATGCTTAAATTTAGGAGTTACGGGGCAAACTCCAACGTACCTTCCTCAGGGGATGATCGTTCTCTTTTGTGGATAATAAATAGCGAAGGTGGCTGAGCATGCACAAGAGCAAACTCGATGCCGGTGAAACGTCTATAAATTGCACGGCAAGATATGCAAAGGGAACTCTGAATGTCAATGAAACTCACTTAAGTTCTTCCGACTCGTTTAATATGGGCACACCCGTGTGCATGGTCTGCATGCGCAAAACTTGATTATTGCTCTGCTTGTCATAGAACATTGACGTGGCAAAATAATCAAACACGTTCTCTGAAGTGAGAGGACCATTCGCCTGATGTGTTTACTTGTAAGCATCCTGACACCTTTGTGGCGTTCGAATCGAATACCTGGATCCATTCGTGCCAGATGAAAAACCTGTGACTGTAATCGTCTGAGGGATGAAGATCGTTGAAGTCCATCACGACCTGTGAGCTGAGTGCCGCAGATAGGGAGAACTTTCTGGTCTAGGGACGCGTTACGTTCTGATAGCTTCAATTAGCGGTAAACATTACCCGCAGTAATGGTGGTAGTGTTAAGGCCGCCACGGCCCGTTAACTAAGTTTGCCCAGGAGCGTGAGAAATGTTAATAATGAAACTGGTATCAACGAGAGTCTTGGTGGTCCCCGGCCTAGTCCGGCTAGCCCGTCTGTCCTAGCACCCCCAAACCCTGCACTGCTAGCAAGCTACCGTGTGTTTAACCTGGGGCATGACCGGTCGACCACCGTGACTGCGATGCCCGCTTTCTTGTAAACATTCTGCACTGCCAACACGCGCTACGACCATTAGTGCATTGATTCAGAGAAGAGATGTCATAACGAAGTTCGGAGGGACCTGGCAAGGATGTGCCGCTTTTCCACCCTCCAATCAGCAATCTGGCATCAAGCAATCACCGAGCCCACCTCTCAATGGACAAAAATTGGACATAAAAATAAAAAAAAGTAATCACCGTCGATTCACCGACTGCTAAATCCTTTCCCATCCTAATTGTGCTCTGGGTCTGTATTACTCAAGTTGGTGTTGCAGATGCTATGTGAGCTGCAGAATATATGTGGCTTATCATCTATACCACTTGACAGTATTTTGCCATTTATGGTGAAAGTGCGCATGCAAGCTTGACCATTATAACACTACAAAATGATCAAGATTTAACATATTCACTGCTTGCACAGACTGGATGGACACCCGGCCGGACTTTCGAGACTTCCAAAACAATGGGATCTGAAACTGGGGTCATAAGGTACTTCCCCAGAGGAAATGCTCTATGCACGCGGTCTGACAGTGTGAGACTCCGTGACTCCAAGGCGCCTGGGAGACGCCGAGGCACACCCTAAAATCCTGCTTGCATCGGTTCCCGTTATCCGATAAGTCTTCTTCATCAACAGGACCCCACTCCATGTTCCGAGTACTAAATAAACAATCTAGACTTTCCTTGAAAGCGTTTATTCTTAGCGTCTGTGAAGTGTGCAAGATTGCATCGAATCTGATATGTTTGATAAACGAGCCGAGCCGAAAACCGACCACACTAGAAGGCTGATTTATCAGTGGTCTTTCAAATCGTGCCAAGGTTATAGTATAAGTACTAGCCGTCTTCTCCCAGTTATCTCCCCCAAGAAGCTCTAGGATGCATTCAAACACCTCATCACCATCATTACATGATGATTCCTCTGCGCAGACGTTGCAACAGGGGTTGCGAAATAAGATGTCTGTCAGTTCTGCATTGAAGGCCGTGGTGCACCACTTCAAAAGACATGTGGGCGTCGGTATCATATGTGCAGTCGGTTATTTCGATCCGTACGCCATATCATTACTTGTGATGCATACGTCGTATATCTGATTTCCATCAAGCGGTAATTGGAGCGTCGATATTCAAGCAGGCGTTAGCTTTGGGTATCGACCTATGCTATTCGTTATTTTACTCGCTGGAATCATTGCAGTCATTTTGCAGGCATGTCGATGATATATATCTAATGCTATCCGTGCAACCTCTAATGCCACCACACCACAGGTGTTGGCAGCTAGACTCGGCTGTGTAACTGGTCTAGGTGAGATATTTTTCATCTCGCTGTTGCGTCTTCTTATACGACGTTTCTAGATTTGGCTCATCATTGTAGACTACTTCTCAATGACCATCCAAAGCACCCACGGTTGGTCCGGCGACTTGTGCTGTATCCTCTCTATGCCCTATGCGAAATAGCCATCATCAGCACGGATCTTGCAGAATTACTTGGTTCGGCCATCGGTATCTGCCTGCTTTTTCCAAAAGTCCCCCTGTGGTCCGCCGTGCTCATTACTGGTGTCGACGTTTTTATCTTCCTCATCGTAGGCGACCCCTCGCGAACAGGACGTCCAGTGCGATTTTTTGAGCTGGTAATCATATTATTGGTTTGTCCTGATACTAATCTAAAATCAATCAGTTGCTGATTCGAATTTAAGGTTGCAATGGTCTTCATATGTTTCATCTTGCTACTAGTCAAGGTCCACCCAGACTGGCCACAGGTGTTTTTGGGCTTCGTGCCATCTTCGGGTCTTTTTCAGTCACAGCCCAACGCAATCTATGCAGGTATGTCCCATATTTGACAGTAGTCCAGAGATGACGAACAAAATAATGTAGCCATTGGAATTATTGGTGCCACGGTCATGCCCCATGCGCTGTTTCTGGGCTCGAACCTTGCAACCCAGGATCGTGTTTCAGACCCACCAAAGCCACTTCCGACACCTGCAGACGCAAGGCGGCTGTCATTTTCTCAAAGATTTAAACAGTTTTGGAGGAGTATTTTATATTTTTCACGATCAGAACGTGACACCGGGAAAGACTATACCTCTCGACATGGGTTTCGTCAGAACAACTCGTTAGAATTTATTCGCGCTCATATTAGCCACGGAACCGTCGATCTCGTATTCAGTCTATTGGGACTTGCGGTGCCAATCAACTCGGCGTACGTCCTCCTCCACCTATGCTTTCGTGACTTGACGTAGAAGATTCAGGATATTGATTTTGGCCGCTGCCATGTTCTACTCGTCCGACTACAACGCCTCAATCGGACTGGAAAACATGCATACCTTGATGCAACAAACGCTTGGGTCAGGTAAGCGGGGATGCTCATATTACGACAATACTGGACTCACTATTAAATAGCCGCAGCAGTAATCTTTGCACTCGCCCTGGTCTGCTCGGGCCAAACTGCCAGCATTACGGCGACGCTTGCAGGACAGATTGTCTCCGAAGGATTTATATCGTGGAACATCTCTGTATGCACAATTCATTTCGATAGCTTCATCTTCGCCTTAACGCCCGTTCTTCACAGCCATTTATCCGCCGTCTTCTCACACGCCTGATCAGTCTAATACCCTCTATGATCGTGGCTATTTCATCTGGGGGGGCAGGAATTAACGCTCTCCTCATTGCATCACAAGTCGCCCTGTCAGTTGTCCTCCCCTTCGTCGCATTCCCCCTCATCTACCTCACGTCGTCAAAAACGGTGATGTCTGTCAGAACGCCGAAAGTGATCCAAGAAAAACTTGTCAAGACTCCGCCGATAACTTCCACGCACGCAAAATTCCCTGTTTCTGACGCACTGTCTACCCACCGGGTGGGCACTAGCATTACAGTTGTTGAGCGAAACATTGAAGGTCGTGATGATTCAATGAAACATTCGTCAATACAGGCATACGAAACACAGGAAACCCAGGAATACAGTGTTGTCGACTTCAGCAACGGATATATCGTTACATGGCTTTCATGGATCATCTGGGTGGTGATATTTGCTGCCAACGTTTATGCTATTGTGATGCTTGGATTAGGACAAACGTGACGAATAGCAAACTTCCTCGGGCATCGTTGTGCGTATATCAGATGACGGTGTTTATTCTGTTATCCAATATTAGCTTCCTTGAGAACGGCTGCGGAGATAATACACGTGGCATTGACAGCTGTCATTACGTATGCGATAAGACTAGAACGCAACCTGCTGAGTCAGCCCCTCCAGCTCTCGCTCGTAACACCTGTGCTGGCTAATCTGGAATGCGAAGTTAGAAGCGAAACCTCTCGTGTCCGCAGCGATATTGAGCACGTCTGTGACAACAGAGGAGGCGCTGTACTTCCCTGTAGTCACGACGCCGTAAGATGTGACAACTTCATCGATGCCTTGGACGCGCGAAGGGGTGAATAGATCAACACTGGCAGGCAATCTAACAACCTCGCGGAGGAAATCAACACCTGAAACATCTCAGGCGTTAACGGCGATGTGATAATTTATGGACACACCTTCACCAACGGCAGCGATAGCCTTGCAGTGACCAAATGCCTCCCTTACCCAGTGAACCACGCGACCATTCTTTGCAATGGTTTTCACATGCTCTTCACCGGAAGGGATATAGATGGCATCAAACAACGTTGAACGCTGGCTGTCAAAGTGGTGATCGGCGAATACTTCTGGACCGAGGTCCTGACCGGCCATTGGACGAATGTGGTTACGACGAGGACCAATAAGATAGCAAACAGCCTTTGCGCTTGTGAGAGCAGCCCTCACAGCTTGCATCTCAACAGCGTTGAAACCGTCCGAGATCAGGATGGCAATGCGCCTTGAGACGATGGTAGGCTCCTTGGGCAAGAAGTCGAGCTGCGAAAGACCATGGCTCGTACGCCCATGATTGTCACGACCAGGCTTGTTCGGCACATCGCCATTCACCTGAACGGCGACTGCCTTTGCCAGGTCGAAATCAATGTTGTTCAGAACGTTGATATAGGACCTGTAAACGTCCGGGTCCTCACAATGACTAAGTTCGAAGCCGATAGCGTTGACGAGGTGGGCCTTTTCATACGCGGCAAGCGAATTATAGAAAAGTTGAGCATGATTAAAGTGCTCCTGAAACTTCGACCCGCGTGCCCTCTGTTTAATACCCTGAAGACGCTCTGCATATCTATGACCCTGTGAGACTGAGAAGGCGAAAAGACATGAAATAAACCTACTCGACGTATCCACCTTTCTCCTCAGAAACTGGGTGTCCAATATCTTTGCGGTTGGGCCAATAGTTAACTTCGCTCTTAACAATACGATGCCTGCTCTTTCCGTCACGATTGTGGTTGAACACAGGACATACAGGTCTATTAATTGGAAGCTGCGGTCGTAGCAATGAGCCATAGTTTCAGCAACAGACTAAACGAATAAAATTCACCTCCTCCCAGTTGGCACCCAAACGAGAGATCTGGGTATCAAAGTACGAGAAGTTTCGACCTTGCAGAAGAGGATCGTCGCTAAATCCTATTCCTGGAACGACATGGCTGGTGCAAAATGCGACTTGCTCGGTTTCTGGAAAGAACTCGTCGACAACGCGGTCGAGAACTAATTCGCCAATCTCCTCGAGAGGTACCGATTCCTGTGGCCAGATCTTGGTGGCGTCCAAGATGTCAAAATCGAAATCGTGCTGTTCGGACTCAGGGATTGTCTGAATGGCGAACTTCCACTTTGGGTATGCACCGCTTTCGATGGCCTCGCTCAAGTCCTTACGGTGAAAATCGGGATCTTGGCCGTTGATCTTGAGGGCTTCATCCCAAAGAAGGCTGTGGACCCCCAACTCCGGGATGAAGTGAAACTTGACAAAGTGGCGTTTACCATCTGCAGACACAAGCGTGAAGGTGTTCACCCCGAATCCTTGCATCATGCGGAAGGACCGTGGAACGCCGCGATCAGACATGACCCACATCACCATATGTGCAGCTGCAAAAAAGGGCGTCAACATGTATCCGGGAACGCCCAATTTGACGAACACTCAGGTTGCAGGCCCACAAAATCCCAAAAGTTGTTATGGGCACTCTGGCCTTGAGGCACTTCGTTGTGAGGCTCTGGCTTCACAGCGTGAACGAAGTCAGGGAATTTAATGGCATCCTGAATGAAGAAAACGGGAATGTCATTTCCGACGATGTCCCAGTTGCCTTCTTCAGTATAGAACTTGACCGCAAACCCTCTGACATCGCGGACGGTGTCCTGCACGCGACGGGAGACGTTAACCGATTATATGCGCGAAAAAAGAAGCATATACGCACAGCGCTGCCACGCGAACCCTGAACAGTGCTGAAACGGACGAAGACAGGAGTCGTCCTCGAGGAATCCGTCAGGACAGGGGCGAATGTGTATTTCGAAGCGCGATCGTCAAATACTTTGAAATGGCCATGAGCACCGGTACCGCGGGCATGCACTACACGCTCTGGGATCCGCTCGTGGTCAAAGCGGTGTATCTTCTCTCGCCCAATTTGATCCTCAAGGAGCGAAGGACCGTTCTTCTTTGACTCGGACTTTGACTCGGAATCGGAGCCGATGATCTTGAGCCTGACGAGAAATTAAAGATCAACACCGCCTACTCGATACATACACTCATGCTCACCAATTGTCCGTGTCAGCCACCTTGACACCATGATCCGTTGTCAGAGGCTGACTGGTTCGCGGTTCCAGTATGTCTCGCTGCAAGTCCACGACTTTGGAGTTCTTAGAGGTCATAGTAGTGAAAGCTTTTTCGACTGATTGCCCGATAGACGACATGGCGGGTGATGGAAAGAGAGGAGACTTGAACGTCCATCCCGCCTTTTATACTCCTGAGTCTTTCCCGCCGACGCGGACAAACTTTTGAACTTCAATGAGATCACCGGTGACGAAAAGACGATCGGTACACGTGACCGCGCGTCCATTTGAATTTCAAAACAATGTGCACACCCGCATGACTCTCACTTAATGGTATGGGCCACTAGCGTCGGTGGCTAAAATATGTAGTGGCAGAGGATTCCGGTGAATGTTTTGACAAGGCCTCGGTACTATCCAGAACAAATTGTCGAAGAGGAGGTTTCAATTATGAGATTATGTGCGAGTAATTCTGACACGCTCACAAATGCATCATAAATAGTGGTATTTCCGCCGCAATGGGTACATAAATAATGAAGGTGGCAGGACAACGCCAACGCGCCATCTAAGATATAAGTTTGTTTACGTTACAGAAGAAAACATTGTCGTATAGGAGTTAACACAAATAAAGTATCCGAATGAGATAGAATATTACCAGCCCATCGTGGACAAAGGTAGGCATAAATGAGGCAGCCCGAGATCACGTTCATCACTGGGCTCAGCAACTATGGCTGAACGGTACGATACGCAACACATCGAGAACGGAAATAGCGTAGATAGCGGAATGATACGTCTTCAGAAGCGCGCAGTGGACGAATCGACCATCGACTACGACGAAGCGAGTGGCGAAAAATACTCGCCCATGCTGTGAACAGCGCATGTCAGTACAGGGAAACACAATCCAAAACAATACGCACGCATAGTGTTAAACAGGACAACGGATTCTGCAACTATTTTATGTCGGCGCACAAGCACTGGGACGAGGCACCGATTGTTCCTTTACCACAGCTATCACACCAACTCCTGTGACCGTTGTCGACACCTATAGACTTCACTGCTGCAGATGGCGTGGAAGCTACTGACTCGTCACGATGGATGCTGACCAAGTGACGGCCAAGATCATGTTTGCGGCTAAAAGACCGCCCGCACGAGCGATGAGGGCACACATGGGGTTTGAGACGGTTTGGGTCATGGGTTGCCATGTGCGTCTTCAAGTTGTAAGCCCGTGCAAATGCTAGAGGACAAAAGCGATCAGCGATAAGCCAGGGCAGCACATATGGTACCAACCTCGGGGGCATGAAGGACATTGGTATCTCTTGCGAGGATCGTCTTTGGATTGATCGTCAACGCCCCTGAGTGACCTTGCAAGAGGTGGGGGGGATGAGGATGCGGATAATTGCGACATGTTAGATGGCGCGACGGCGGAGTCAGTGCTAGAAATATAGCTGAGGAAATACTCTGCGGTCGAGGACTTTGGGACCGCAGGAATGCGAGTTGCGCCACCGTAGTCTGAGAAGCTTGTGCGCTTATAGGAATTGTCTATGGCAGGCGCAGTCGCAGAAGGACTGCGGGGGCTAAGGGGCAAGGTCCCAAAAGTGCTGGGGTCGACAGTCATGGGAAGAGAATTATTGTTGGACTGCGCAGCGGAATTAATACCATAGTCGGAGCAAGCGCTACCACCGACACGAACGCGCTGGAAATCCATCTCTAGGTCTAAAGGAAAGGAGCAATTGGCAGAAAAGGAAGGAGAATCCGGGTAGTTATAGAGGGACTCTGAGTGAGTGGAAAGAGTGTCGTATGTGGACTCGGAGGAAACGGTGATCGTGGAAGGAGGACCACACGTTGGAGTATCGGATCTCAAAAAGGAGTAAGCGTCGTTGGAATCTACGGTGAGGAGCTGGAGCTGGACTTCGTTGAAAGCCGCAAGGCTTGAATCCAGTTCTAATTCGAATAGATCGGGATGGGGTGCGAGGATGTCTGAAGGCGAGTGAAATGAAGCGAAGTCAAGGCCACCACCTTGCTTTGTGAATTCAGAACCATAGGGCTCAAAGGAAGAATAGAAATCGTCGGCTTGTGAGTCTGCTGCCATTGGGGAATCTGATACTGCGCAATGATTTTATTGCGAAGTCGTAGAGTGTTCAATCGAGTCAGGTTAAACAAGAGGGGGCGAATTCTTGCTGCGGACCACGCAAGCAGACGGCTTATAACCCATCATTACATCAGCCTCATTCTCACCCTTCACAGCCTATTTAAGACATTTCTATCTGGAACGAATGACAAACAATTGTCTCACGTCCCGTCGGAGCGCAACCGCTGACTCGTACTAGTATGTGCGCTTGCGCCCCCATCTTGATCTCCGTGCAGACTCCAATGCAACCAACGATCGCAACCACGTCGGGACGCACAGCATCTTTATGTGAATGATTTTGCATATTTCGCTTACTTCATAGAAGAAGCGGACACTTGCGTCTTTAAAGCTTTAGGAGGTTGTACGGTATGTTGAAGGCTCACAGTCACAGTCTGCTACCGAAAAGTTCCGAAGGTATGCGCGAGTTGACGCCGGGTCGCCTGGAATCCCACCAAGGTTAGTGCACAGCTTGGGTTGCCCCTGTCATCAAAGCTTACCTCTCGTCCGTTGCTACCGGCGCGTGTACAAAAGTGATTCCCGCACTCTCGGAGGTCATCTTTGTCCGTTCCGTCGGGATGGTCCAGGTCCTGCTCGAGTGCGTGGGATTGCTGAAGATGTCATCGCCCGCCTAGCTCAATCGGATAGAGCGTCAGACTCTTATGACTAGGCGATCTGAAGGCTGCGAGTTCGACCCTCGCGGTGGGCTAATAATTTTTTGCTATGCGTCACTTGTCCCATTGTGATTTGTTTTTACAATGAACCTTACTTGAAGCAAAGGAGCATCAACAACTGCGTCACTTTCATTTCATCATAAATTGAATAATAATACATAGTTGTATAGTCTAAATGTCCTCATTGATGAGTCCCACGAGGGGAGTCACAACGTTGATCGTGATAGGTTATCGCTTATCATGAAAGTCCACCGCTGAAGTCTGCGGGTGATGGCCAGCATCAAACACTCATCCTCGGAATGTGCAACAGCTGGTTGAGTGATAAGTTACGCCGTTTTGAACGAATTGATTGAACAATAGAACCATACCTAACCATGTATGGCACTGTGGCTGCGGCCAAACAGGCGAAGGCTGCCCACGTAAGGTATATTCCATTCCCATAGGACACAATCATCCCTGATACAACGTCACCATTGAGTGGTACGAGGTCCAGGGTATTGATGCCTTCGCACTTTTTGACGATGGATGTCCAGATGGCAGCGCCAATGAGAATGGATATCGCAGCAATTATCGATGAAGCCGTTGAAATAACGAACGGGAGTGCCTTTCTTAAGACACCACTGTAGGCAGGCCTTGAGTGTGGTGCATGAGAATCTAGGTGGACCTTACGTGAACAATGCCATGGTGGCAAATATAGTTCCAATGAGGATGAAGTAGTATGCAACGCGAGAATTATAACCCAGGTAGGATGAGTTGATGAACGTCGTGTTAGCAAACATTGTATGACAATATTGTGAGTAGTTGGTGAGCATATCGGACGTTAACGCAATGTAAGGCTCGAACTTGTCGGCAATGGTGTGATTGGTGCATGTTCCAGCAGAGCTGTTAACGTATGCACAATAGGAATAGAGGCCGAACTCGTAGGTTTGCCTCAGCCCATTCTGCTGGCCGAGCGGTGATGTATAATTGGTGGTGTATATGCCTTGATCCGGATCAAGGATGGCATCACTCAGTGCCTGGCTGTGGTCTTATTAGCATATTGGCTAAATAAATTATTTGGGGCGCTAACCCGAACCCTGAAGTGTTGATTTTTGCCTAGACGGTGTGATCAGAAAGGTTTCGGACCCACAGTTATGACCGCGAACCAATCACCATTGAAATTCCATGTGGAACAAGTGAGGTATTTATTTGCCCAACCTGACAGAAGTGACAGCATTAGAATGGTAAAGGACGACAAAGAGACATACTTACATGGACAAAGATTAATAGCAATAGTGCAACGAATCTGTGGCCAAGGTAAGTCGGAAGCGGAAGCGGAAAAAAATATGCTCACGAAAGCAAGGATGCACCTCCAATACAGTATTCTCCTCTCATTTTCAATGTTCCGATAGCTTCTAGAGGTGAATGAAACAAGGTATAACGGGGTGTAAAACTTCACGGCTCAGCATCAACCAGGTTCGCTTGCAGCATTGAATACACGCGACTTTAATATCTTGAAGGTCTGCATTCTATTTTCCCACGAATAATTGAGCTGCCACTTGCCACTACAATTTGGCTGCTTATCCAAATAGGGAATAATCGCCAAGTCTGGCGCTGATATCTACGTTCGGCTCACTTCACTATCTTGCCTTGAGCAGAGCCAGCCAGCCAGCATGTCCAAATCGCCCCCTTGGAAGCCCCTTGCTCGTAATACAGCAGTACCAAGTCCTCAGGAAAGTGAATTTTCGCCCCAAGATCCCCGTTTGCCAGACCAGGTTGAACAAGACGAGGACTCTTCATCATCTCCACAAAGTCGCGCGAAACGTCTGGCGCTCAGAACCAAGGATTTTGGAAAGAGTATCGGTAGTATAGCTCAGTCACCAAGTTCGCCTAAATACGGCGGAGAGCACAGGCGTGTGTTCAGTCTGAGTCGCAAAAGCAAGGCCAAAGAGCAGTCGGATCAAACTGAAGGTAACAATCGATGTTCCCTTTCTTCGTAAAGAAATTAACAGACGCTACCCTGTAGCCATTGTGTCTAGTAACTTGCAAATGCCTAAACTGGTACTTTCCAATGGAAACACCGACACAGAAGCCCAATTGTCAAATGCTATACAGGATGACTCGCCTTTTATCAGGCCTCGTTCACCCTCTCCACTCCGTAATAGGCCCTCATTGCAGGCGTTCCGAGGGACAGGCTCTGTACGACCATTCCCTGTGACGCGTAATTCAATTGACAAATCACGTGTTTTAGATGCGTGCTGGAACTCAAACTCTGATTCAAGCTCTACAAGCTATTCCATGGGCAGATGTTTCTGATCAGGACGATGACCATACTAACATCATAACGCCACACGGTGACGAGGATAGCGATGAAGATTCCGGAGGTTTGTGATCTCCTGCATTGATTTTCTTCTCTGACATTTTGTTCTAGCATTGCCTATGGCTTCTTCTATTCACGCTATTTATCGTCCTGTTGCGCGTTCGAGGAGAACGGAAGCATCCTTATCATCACGCACTGCGTTGCCATTGCCAGAGGAAGAACATGAGTCATCCGACGGAGATTTGGACGTCACTGGTCTCTCCGAAGAGGATGCCGATGCCGAGGACTTTGAAGCTACCACTCCGCGCCCCGCAGATTTACCAAAACCAGAACATGTTATGCCGGAGTTGTCGACGGTCTTCCGACCTGGGGTGCATATGAGACGTAGGACTAGCTATGCTGGGAGTATCACAACCGTCAAAGTCGGGAGGAGGGCGCGCCTAGCCGAGAAGTTAAAGGAGATATTTGAATTGAATGCCATCGACGAAGTTCTAGCCGGCGAGTATCTCATTCATTAATGCTACTCACGATGTTCAACCAATCACAGAAATGCCTTGCTGGTTGCTTCGGTCTGTCTGTAAGGCAGTTTGTTTTACGCTTTGGTGTGTGATTCTAACGCCACGCATAGTATTACAGGGATATATGTACCTCACGAACTCTCATTTGTGCTTCTTTGCGCATATGCCCACCCGAGAGGTAAGAAATCTATGCAGACACGTCGGGCGTGCTTTTATAATCTCTGTAGGATCAAATACTCAAGTCAGGGACACTCAGCAAGAGGGCTAACCATACTAAGCGGTGGACAAAGCACTGGTTCGTGCTCAAGAACGATGCCCTCTCTTGGTATCACTCTTCTTCGGTGGGTGAAACAAATTCTGAGACATCGCTATCTCATACCTCATTAGGACCCCTATTTCATAAATGGTATAGTGGACCTTCGTTATGCGATATCTTGTGATCCATCCGGAGAGAAGGAGATACGTCTCCGAACCAACCAGAAGACTGTTCTCATGTCAGCCGACTCAGTTCCTAGTCGGGAAGAATGGGTAAAGGCCATAAAGAAAGTCATCTTCAAGGCCCAAAATATGGGTGACACTGTTAAGGCAGGTTGATAGTATTTACTTGTTTACGTATTAACATGTTGCCTCTTGCAGATCGCAATCCCTTACGCGTCTGTCCTTGATGTCGAGAAGTCATCAGCGATAGACTTCAGCGAGACCATCGAGGTCAAAGTGTTTGACAAAGAGCAGGAGCATTATACAGTGGACTCGTATTTCTTCGCTTACTTCCAGAACTTGCCGGTCGCGTTGGAACATATTCGCGATGCTGTGCGTTCACATCGTTCATCGGTCACCAGGTCGCCTCTGGCGGTCTTGGACACCACCTCCACCCGCCCGCCTTCCGCCACTCATGGTATGGATCGTGCTAAGAGCCTTCCAACACCAGACACGCGTTTTGGCTCTTCTTTCAGACTATCGTCTCTCCTGCGACCATTCCACGACTCGCTTCCCGCATCTTTGGGGCGCATGAACAGTTCATCAGGGGCTCCCGAACCTACCGAAGCGCCTGATGACTACACTCACATAACTAAGAGCTCCGGTTCTTCACTGGTGCCCATCACAACTTCGCCTAATTCGATATCTTCCCCAGACTCAAATAGGGCGCTTCATGCCCTTTCCAAAGCATACACAATTGCTACTCCTACGGACCACACTTATCCTCCTTCCACGTCTGTGAGTGATCTGGCTCCTAGTCCATCCACGAAGTCCGTCCCATCAAGTGTTCCATGGAACGTGGGGGTACCCTCTTGGCTCAAGGTCCCCCGTGGCCGCCTCGGCACCTCTACCTCGAATGCGTCTTCGCTTAGTGCCTCTCCCAGTGGAGGCAGCATAAGTGAAGTATATTCTGTACCATCAAATGCAGAATCAGCAGCCCGGCGGAGCTCCGGAAGTGCCCAAGGTGATCTTGGATACAGTGTCCTTGAGACACCAGAAGCTTCCGTCGATCCGGAAGCTACTGAGAAATTCAGGATTGCATTTGCCTTTGACGAGAAGGAGATCTTGTTGGGCTGTATGTGTATTCCTTTCATCCCATGTTTTGCTGTTAAGCATCTTTTAGATTTCACTGGATATATATTCCGTCTTTTACCAGTACCTGGCCGGCTGTATGTCTCGATCAACTATTTCTGTTTCAAGTCGACTGGCCCTCTTTCTTCCAAGACTCGGGTACGTAATTCTTGAATCTTCGGGGTCTACCCCTCATAGCACTTTCCTAGATGATTCTTCCTATTCGAGATATCTTGAGTGTCGAGAAGACCAAGGGTACTCGGTTCGGCCACTACGGTCTCACAGTTGTTATCAAAGGCCATGAGGAACTCTTTTTTGAATTTGGCTTCGATGACCGCCGAAAAGCATTCGTCGGTATTCTGGAACAGCAAATGGAAGAGGCCAGGAAGCGCGGGAGTGCGGGAGATGTCCCGGTTCTCAGTCAGGGGAAAAAGGATGCACTCATCTTGGAGGAGTTCGAGCCTGACAATCCCTCAGACTCAGATCCCGCCCTTCCACCCGAAAGCATGTCTGAATCACTCCCAGCAGTCATGTTCACCTCTTCCTCGTCGACATTCCTGACGTTCAAGCCCAAGGAATCCTTACATTTCACCTTCCTGACGATCGGCTCGAGAGGAGATGTACAACCTTACATATCTCTGGCGAAAGGCCTCATGGAAGATGGTCATCGAGTCAAAATTGCAACACATGGCGAATTTCGTGAATGGATAGAAGCTGTTAGTCCCCCACCTCTTTGAGTGGCACACCATTGACACACCTGGCAGTATGGAATTGAGTTCGGCTATGTTGGTGGAGATCCAGCAGAACTTATGCGCATCTGTGTCGAGAATGGCACATTTACTGTGGCATTCCTCAAGGAAGGCATGTCAAAGGTATGTTTATGCCGTATGAGTACACACCGATCTTACATCCTACCAGTTCCGTGGGTGGATTGATGACCTTTTGAAGACTGCATGGGAAGCATGTCAAGGCACAGACATCCTAATTGAAAGTCCCAGTGCCATGGCCGGAATTCACATTGCAGAGGCACTCAAGATACCCTATTTTAGAGCTTTCACGATGACTTGGACACGTACCAGGGCATACCCACATGCCTTCGCTGTTCCAGAACACAAGGTTGGTGAGACATCACTGCACGAGGCTGGAGCTCATGATAATTCTTTCAGATGGGTGGTGGGTATAACTATATGGTTCGTTGAAACAGTATTCGTTCATCACTTGGATTGACGACAGCGATTAGACTTACGTTATGTTCGATCAAGTATTTTGGCGTGCTATCTCAGGCCAAGTAAACCGTTGGCGACGTAATACTCTGCATATAGGCAATACCAGCCTTGATCGTATGCAGATTCACAAGATACCTTTTCTATATAATTTCAGTCCTACGCTTGTGCCCCCTCCTTTAGATTGGCCTGAGTGGATCCGCATCACTGGTATGCCCGAGTTCATCTAGCATGACAACTGTTTATCTCAAATTATCATCAGGTTATTGGTTCCTCGACGATGCAGAAGTGGGTGCCAAAAAATGGACCCCACCACCCGATCTCCTGCTGTTTATCGATTCAGCTCATGAAGCTGGAAAGAAAGTCGTCTATATTGGCTTTGGCAGCATCGTTGTCTCAGACCCGGTGGCAATGACCCATTGCGTGATAGAGGCTGTTTTACGGAGTGGTGTATATGCAATTCTCTCCAAGGGCTGGTCCGATCGATTGCATACGAAGTCTTCGGAAGCATCCGAACCTGAGGAATCATTACCCAAACAGATTTATCCGATTAATTCCATCCCTCATGATTGGTTGTTCCAGCGCATTGATGCTGCATGTCATCACGGTGGTGCTGGAACTACTGGCGCAAGTTTAAGGGGTCCGTATGCTATTAATTTTTGTGGCCGGTCTGATGCATTTCCTGTAGCTGGCATACCAACCATCGTCAAACCTTTCTTTGGAGATCAGTTTTTCTCCGCTGATCGCGTTGAAGCCCTTGGCATAGGAACGGGTGTCCGCAAGTTGACTGCGGAGAGCTTGACTGAGGCGCTTGTCTCTGCGACTACAGACGTCAGACAAATTGAGAGGGCGAAACTAGTTGGAGAACAAATACGCGCTGTAAGTCAATTTGATTAAGACTTGACGACATTTCTAACTCAAGTTTAGGAGAATGGTGTTGCGACTGCAATCGAGGCCATCTACCGTGATCTTGAATATGCTCGTTCATTGATCAAACGGGACCCCAATGAATCAGAGGCTGCACATGATGTCGAAGGCGCCGTCCGCAATGAGCAGAATATCGTGCCCTCGCAATCTACTCTGGAGCGTTCCGGTTCTGGTTCCCGGACTTCCGTAGATTCACGCCGAGTCAGCGAAGACTGGAGTGTAATTTCTGATGGCGACGACAAGCACCCCCCCGGTTCAGGCAAAGTGGGCGATGGCAAGCTCGACCGGTCCTCAACCTTCAAACGTAGCAGTCTTGCGGCTGCTGTTATGTCTGTGCTACCGGATGCACTCACCCCACATCGCCAATTCACAGGGCCACAACCTTAAGTTGACTGTAATTTATCTAGTTTACTGTATTACTCGTCTCATTGTACAACGCACATTTCTCGGTCATTCGGGCTGTTAAATACTTAGATATAATACGTGGATCATATTACCCTGGCTTCTTCATAGTGTTCCTCCAGCACCTTCTTGCTAAATGACCCGAAGGTATCACTTTCAGAGATACGTTGGTGGGTATCGGGCTGCATGAAGAGAGCAAACGTCTCTCGCGATATCTTTGCTCCAACTTGTGTTTGCCCAACCCGCACACAATGAGGTGTCGCCCGTAACTTTCCAGCAGTGACTAGCTCCAGGGCCTCGCCGGTTTGGAAGGCAAGGCAGTCTGGAGGAATTGAAACCTTTGTCAGATCTCCACCTCGGGTTCTGATATACAAGCCGGACGTCGGAGAAGGTGAAGGAACAATAGTAGGCTCCAATCCTGCTTCTTCACGAAGGAATATAGCCTAAAGTACAACATTCAAAACTTTACACATGACATTTATGCACTCGGGCATGTACTTACTGAACACAACCCTGTCAGGAGTGAATGATCTTTATGAAAGCCGCACCAGCTATCGATGGGTTCATCCTCAGTGGTAGGGCTATTTTCTGAAGGAGGGAAGTAGTGCAGAAGGCGAGCTTTAGCGGTTTGTGTGCTGATGAGTTCTGGAACGGATAAAGACACGTCTGTCAAATATTTGGAGACTGAGATCCTCATCAGTAGTTGTTCGCAGCGATGCTCTGTTGCATATACTGACCAAAGGGCTGGCAGGCGCCCGCGAGTTGACACCCAACATTGAAAACGAACCCTCCCAGATTCTTGAAGGCTTCTTCAAAACCATCTATACCGCTTTGGTTCTTGTCGGGCCCTTGGTGACATTTAGTGTTCAATATACCGTAGTAAGAAGAATAATACACACAAACGTTGTCGCCGTAGATTGGCGGATACGCAGCTTTTACAGCGGGGTTGACGTCGGGAACATCTACTACTGGGTTAGCGTAGTATGATCCTTTCAGCGTATCTAGTTTCAAGGTAAGCAGGTGTCCGGCCAATAGGCGGTACACATACCTGGTCGTCCATTCATGATTTCCTGAGGGGCAACATCAGTCAGTCCAGTTTATTGATTGGCATCTTTCAGCCTTCGTAACACTGACTTTCCCGTGCGACCATCCGTAGCTTCAGGCCGGAGTCAAAATCTTGCCACCTGAGCAAGTGCAGACTTGACCTACCTGTATATACTCCCAGGGTCCACATATCTCTCTCTTACGTCCTCGTCCAGATGAGCGAATTTGTATGCAAGCTTGAGCAATCTTTCTCTGTAGACAGGGTAGACAGGCGGAAGATCTTTCACAAGTATAAGCCCGAGAGCCTGAGGATGCGATCCAAACGCCTCCTCTTGTAAGAGAAAGGATCAGTATTGGTATAGTGGCATACGATGTTATACATGACTCACCGATAGATGTCTCTAGGGACGAGGGTGAAGATACAAGTGTTTGGTAAGAGATCGACACGACGTCTGTAGACATGGCACGCGATCCCTGTAAAACATGGGTTAGGGACCTTATGGAGCAAAAAAGTACCCTTCTCGCCATCGGACAAAGTCAGAACGCTTAGGCACTAGTATTGAGTTCCGAGCCTTGACTCGAAAGCAGCCAAGTACCGTCGTGACGCCGGCGGCCGTATTAGTACTGCCTGGTGATGGTGATTATCGTCAAAGCGCTAAACTCGGATTACTGAATGAATGGCGCCGGCGCCTAAGATAATCGCAGAGGGTATACGATGTGCCATAAATTTCGATCTTTGAAAACTTCTGCGGTTGTACACGCTACACGTGGTACTACGAAGTTCGAACGATCTACTCCCATGACTACTGAAAATCACAACCTAAGGTACCATGACGCGTTTCTGGGCCACCAGAGATGTCTCCGACAAGGCATGCCTGAGCGCCTTTCCAGTATCATCGATGGAATGCAAGAAGCGCAAGAGTTCCCGACAAAGTTGCCAGTCCTGTGCTTTCACAGCACATTTCAGCAAGCGGACGGCATCTTTATTGTTTTCATCGAGCTGCTCAAGATTATGCAGCACCAATAAATATGAACCTGCTGTCTTCAGCCGTTTGGACGCCAAACACGTCTGTTACGATAAGTCAGCGGAATTCCATTCTACGAGACTTAACTGCGTCTCACCTCAAAGAGTGCATGTGGGTTCCCAACAATGCTAAAGAGACGCTTCCATCTGGTCATTTCAGTTTTCCGAGCACATCCGACAACGACGTCCAAGGAGGCGTCGAAGTGATCAAGAAACTCTATCACTGCCGTGAGTGTACCAGACTCAGGCGACGCGCTTGTCGAAGGATCTTCTGAGTCTACTGTGCACTCAGATTCCACGACTGTATGTAGCAATATTTCTAATGCATGTGCGAAGAAGACCAGATGCTGATAGTGTTTGGCAAGCGTCACTGCCTCCTTCACTTGCCCGGATTCCAGGTGATAACGGAGGACGTGGTGCAGAAAAAGATGGGACTTAAAACAGGTAAGTATAGACACGAATAGTCCGACAAGAAACTTACACTTGTGGCATGTCTGAACATTACAAATGAGAGGTTCATTCTCGTTGCGGCCTCATGCTCCGCGCCGATGATGATTCCCTTGTCCATGAGAACAGCTGCTTGTCCATCAGCATATCACAGGACCCCAACACATATGAGGAATACACACGCACACAACGGGTAGAAGTCTAATGGTATGCTCACGCTTTCCTTGACGCTTGAAGGTTTATCGGCAGATCCGGACGACTCAATTGCAAGTGCATTCAGCCAAACTCGCATGTTCTGTCCATCGTAACCCCAGAGTGAATTCTCGAGTGCACCAATACCACGGAGATGTATCCAACAGAATTCGATGCGTTCTGCGAAGATTTGCATGTCGTAATTCACCTCCTGGGTACCCGACTTGAAGGCAAAGTTAATAATCTGCTGCGTTGATGTCTCATCACAGCGCACCGTTCTTGGACGCAATAACACCAACTGACCACCAACCACCATTAATACAGTGGCGACTGCGAGGTCATCCACAGGGTCACCGAGTCCTGGATACGAAAAAATGAGTAAGTGGTGTTTTGGAAGTCGGTGAACGTACGTTTCTGTGTATTCGGGATCATCCAGCTCAATGCCCTCACTGCGCTAGGTGAGGCAATGATTCCGTCAAATGTGATACTTCCGCACAAATGCAGCTTGATTGTGTCAGCAGTTGGTATGATCAAATAGTGGCTGAGCATGTTGTCGGCAGTATAAACCAGTAGTGAATTGTCAACCAAGGATAAGATGATTACAGGCGACATTAGGACTTCGCGGTGGAGCACATTTTGATTGCTGAGTTCCATATCTCTGGAGTAGAGCCGTATCTGGTGAGGTACAATCAGTTGGATTCCACATGGAAGCGAGCACTTGCACGAACCTGATACGACTTGGAAATTTCCACTGCAACAATCAGAACATGGTGGAACCACAAAAGTCCTCCTTTCACCGTAAATGCCTGCTCTTGAACGATGTTCGAGAATATTTTCCATCTGCCCGAGGTCGAGCTGTAATGTACCAGACCCCGCCTTCCGGCAATGGCAATCAGTCGCCCGTCACTGCTGAGTGCCGAGTATTTTATGGGCCAATTTGTTGCCAGGTAGGATTGAGGTATCTGCCATACGTAAGTCAACGATATGTATGTGATGGTTGGGATACTGACTTTGATGTGTTGCCACACATCTGACTCTGGATTAATGACGCTCATGTCGGGCTGCTCGGCGCCTCGGTACACCAGCGCTCGATCGTCCATTTGCAGAAACGCGTAACGAGTATTATCCTGCTCACTGTATGATAAAACTTGTATCGTCGAGTGATAACATGAACTCACTGGAGAATGTTGGCATGTCGTTGCGCTTTTGGCAAATGGCAGAACAAAAACTTGGCCGTCCGGTTCTATGATTATCGCGTGAGATTTTGGTATCGTAGGAAGAACAAACTGACTTATTCCGGAGGGTGTTAGGACAACTAGTTCGAAGTTTCCTGGTGCCCAGAACTGTCAAAGTTGAAAATCAGAGTGCTTCAAAGTGGATAGCAGCTCATACTGACAAGGTTCTCGACCGCGTGCATGAAGGTATCTTGAAACCTATGGCAAAATGTAAGTGCTTTGGCATTCTGTTGAGTCACGAACTTACCTGTCGCCATCAATGTGATCTTCGACACCAAAGCTTGATGCAAGGCATCGTCCACCCACGCTGAATATTGCCCAGCCATGTGTCCACCCCGCAGCTAGCACATAACCATCCGAACTCCACTCCATCGCAGTCACAGAACCACTCAAACGGTTATACGGGTTTGGTATATCGATAACTTTTGGAATGGGTGTAGGCTCATCCGGAGTCGGAAAACTTGTAAATTCGATGGAGCCACTAATCAGAGGAATTAGTTGGAGGAACCGAATAAGAGCGATTCTGCAAACTTTTGAGTACCAACTGCAACGAGTGAGAATCTCGTGTTGACAGCTATTGCCATTGCCCGACGAGGTTCAACGTAGGTTGATGATGACTGACCGCTGCCGTCATCGGTACTACGCTGCTTTTGCACCCAACGCGGAACGTCAAAGTCATGGATACACGTGCCTTCCCAATGGTAGTGCGGCTGCGAGCCAGAACTGTCAATTGATGTTCCGTTAGCTAGGTTCGATGTTGAACTCTGGTGCAGAAGCTGTATTAAGAAATTGAGCAGTGGTAGAACAGAGCAACCCACTTTTTCAGTCTCCTCCTCGTCAAGCTCTGAAACGTTTTCTGAATACCTACTTTCTTGTAAACGGACAAAATATGCTCTCCCGTCAGAAGTGATCCAGGTTTCCACCCCCGATATCGAGTGTTGAAGGAGCTTCGTGACGGTAACTTCGGCTCTCGTAAGTAACGTCAAGGACATCAGCCAATCAGGGTCCTACCATCAGGGTCTAAAAGCCAAGGCAACTCAAGGTCATTCAAAATCCAAGTGTCATGACCCATAAGCGACCTGCGCGCTGTCTGCTCTTCTATGTCTGATTCGTCGTATACTGGCCATGGTATGCGTTGTACAGAAGGCGGGGAACTAGTTGAAAAGATGATACAGTTTTTGCGTGGTGAAACACTGAAAAAACTTTCAGCCAAATACATCAATATGGATTGCTTGAGCCGACCTGAGAACCTGCCCCTCGGTACATATCACACCTTCGAGTGCGAGGCTTAGTGACTGCAGTGGTATGCCCTCTCCTGGACCCGGCAGGAAATTGCGCTGCACACTCGGACCCATGTGTGATGGCTGGTATACCGATACATCTGGAACATAATCGACCGTGACCAGGATCAAATACGACATCGTAGTCTATGTCCACGAAATCAATGTCTGCAGGATAGTCGGACCGCTCAGTTAGAAATAAGAGCAGACCTGAATAACGATCCTACTCCCGTCTGGTGACCAAGTCACCGTCGTATTATCGCCATGTTCTAAGAGAGAGGTTTCTGCCCTCGAGATGTGGGCCAGCGGGGCAGAAGGCTATAAGACATGGACATGGATTGCGCTAAGTTGCAGAATGTGATAACACTAAAACCTACGTACTCGAACGCGCCAAACGGTCAAAGAACTCCTTGTGAGTAAGCAGAAGAGGGACTTGCGCGGGCTAGCTTCGAAGCAGAGTACAGGTTCGGGGGTGACATCAGGTAGAGCAGGAACAGTCAACAACTGCCTTGCCGCTGAGGTAGGAAAGTACATTGGTTACTACTAACTGTATCACCGAGCGCGAATTTGGACTCGAAAGGGTGAATGACGAAATCAATAAACGTCCACAGTACAAAGAAGGGAACGATGATTTAGGCGAGCGGTAAGTTAGAACGACATCTTAATATTGCGGCCGATGTGAAAAACAGCTTGTCTCTTACACGCCTCACATGCACACTCACATACTTATGCGCATGTACAACTTACGCAGCACGCACATATCCGTGAACAACATTTGTGAGGGTACTAGATGCCACTAATGATACAATGAGTGCAACACGTAAAACTAAAACCAAATTATGTCAAGGAGGAAGCAAGTAAGTAAGAATGGACTCCAGACCGATTACCTACTGCCCCATATTTTGCCCAACCAAGTGTTTTCAGTCGTGGGCGAAGAATACTCCTCTGGCGCATGGCCAGTATTGTCTGAGCTGTGGGATGAAGTCGGAGTATCCGTAGAAGCGAAAGAATGGTCTGAGTGGAGATGTGTTATATACGAGCTTAACGCCATAGGCTGCAATCGAGCTTGGCGAATTAGGTCAAGGATGAGGGAGACACCCTGCCGAGACTACGAAGAGATCAGACGACCAATAATGAAGAAAGACAGTAAAACAAGCTAACTCTTTGAACGTGAGCCTTGAACCGAGCTAGTCCATGGCTCTCGATTCGTTTTGTCATTCCCCAGCCGAACTTGGAGGTAATGTATGCCTCGGTTGTCTGCATAGTACGGCTGCTCGAGACAGCCGTTAGTGAGACTCGTGTGTGTAAGATAAGTGACACGTACCCGTCTTCATTTTGCTCGAACAGTTGAGTTTCCTCGACTTGCATAACCTTGACATGATCAAGGTTTTTAGTCCTGCACCGAACAAACTTTCCAAAGGGATCCACTTCGCTCTCCTCGATGACCCATGACTCAGCCCTTGAGATAATGCCTTGGGGAGCCCATCTTGGCAAAGCTCCCCTTTTCAATATGAGCCTTGTTGTCAATAAGGAGCCCGACTCTGTCTGGTGCCTGTCAATGACATCGCACGAAATGACATGAGCTGCGTATGGATTAGGATAGCGTAAAAAGAAGGCGAGAGAGACAATGGACCAGGGATCGCTGGAGGTTTTTGAGCATATGAGTGGCAAACCTGACTGGGATGAAAAACTACTCACTCGTACAAGAAGGATTGAGAAAAGAACTTCATTGTCAACGACCCCGGTACGGCTGGTTTCAATTCAAGTCGGTTTAAAAGATCAGAACGAGAGAGCGGACAGGACAGCTACTGCAGGCCTAGAAGATTGATGTGTGGGTGGAAGGGCAATAATCAATTGAACAGGATTGTATCACGTAAGTCCTATTCCGTTAACAGCCGCCAGGACCCCGAATTCTACGGTACAACTAAACGTATATTTAAAGATACACGACAAAATCAAGATTCAAGGGGAATGGCAATACAAGAACAACTTCCTGTTCAGTCGTATGTCTCGTCAATGACCGAATCATCACTAGATACAAATACCCTCAATCCATCATGGGATGGCCGAATCCACACGGGTTTCCCTTCTCGAATCATCTCCGTCCCCCGACGCTCCATGACGCTCATGCGAGTTGTATCTAAGTTAGGGCCCTCTGCCCCCGCGGCCCTGCCAATGGTTACATATTCATCATGAGAAATATCATGGCTGAACCCAGTCAAATAGGTTCGGCTGGGATTCAACCTTCGCACCGTAGCTATTGCTTCCTGAACACCCATATGTGACGTATGGGACCTCAGCCGCAAGCAGTCGAGCACCAACACTGGCATCGGTCTCTTTGCCGACTCTAGGAGAGCCCAAGTATCATCAGGTATCAAAGATACGTCAGAAATGTAGATGATGCTGTCCTGAATCAAAAACCCAAAGCACAAGTAGGGATTAATCTTGGGTGGTGCGTTCCTGCAGCAGGTACCTGACAGCGGTCTTACGGGGGATGACCTTCCTGACAAGTTGGGAGTTGTTGGCTGAGTTGCGCATGGTGTCGGTGCAAAGGCTGGCGGAGGATCTGTGGTAAACACCCTGCCATGGTGGACTAACCAGTTTAGTCAATCGAGAATAGACCTTTATCACAGCATTAACCAACCTATGAATGGGGTAATCTGGACACCCGTATCCTTGATTTCAAATGGGACTTTATCTTCTATGATGTGCCATTCAAAATCCGGCACCTGTTTTCCGGGGCATTGCATATATCAAATAGATGTCCGAGTTAACGAAAGAAAAACTTACATCACCTCCCCCAGATGCGAATTCTTTGGAGACCAAATAAGGGAAAGATCTTTGAACTTCGCGAAACGTGGACTGAGAAACATAGATATCGATGTGAGTTTGTATGGCACCTCCGAGCGTCCATCCTGATGTAATAATGAACATGCATGCAATGCTATGTCAGAGTTATTCCTGTCCTTACCTCGGAGATCATCCAAGCCATTCATGGCTATCAAGACAATCAGCACCATCGTCCATCTCAAATAAACAAATCCGACCATCGGCATGTGCATGGGTGATGATAACAGCGTCAATCTCCCTCAATCCATACTTTGGGAACCACTCCACCGCCGCAGCTTGAAAGTTTTTGCCCACGTCGATGACCACAGTTCTAGTTCAAGTTCGTGATCAGGAAGAAAAGTCAATGATGTGGACTTACGTTGTCTTGCCGTCCTTGCCTGATATGCGAAGAGCCGCGGATGTATTTCGCCTGATATTCTTTTTTCCTTCTGGAGTCAGCGTAGAGAGGCAGGTCAAACAGGGCTTTCTATTGGCCGGAGCGGTCAGACAGTCCAGGTGAGGGATCGAGGAGGAAGTGCCTGTTCCAAGGAATAAAAGTTCGATTGGAGGAGTATTGGAAGGAGAGGCAATGGAACCCATTAATTGTAGGACTGAAGGGGAAAGTTGGGAAGAGAAGTTACAGGAGGTATGCCGTTTTTCAACGTCAAGAGCCTAATTTCCGAACGGTTTCAACTTATTCCGATGAGCCGTCGGTGATCTGGATCATACATAGACGCCCCAATTTGCGTCCTTTACGGCGGCACGTGTGACCGCGGTTACTAGTGCTGATAAGACACACACGAACCTTAGGTTATGGGTGCTGAGCGCTGAACGATGCACTGAACGATGAGAAGCATTTATAACGAGTCTAGCATGTTTGTGACAAATTTTTACTTTTTGAAGTTGCTAGAAGCTAAGACCGTGACAGCACAGCATCGGCCACTTTTTTAAGTAACCGATACGTTCGCGAAAGGAGCCACCAACGACGTGTACCACTCGTGTACCGGTAATACCTCGTGGAATCACTGATAAGTCCGCGGGATAGATGACCTCGATCACAGCGAACGCATGCAAATTTCGGAGTACGCGTGCCTCCCAAGTTCTTCCAAGGCGGCTGGACCCAGGACATGATAGCGTCTATACTACATCATAGGCAATTGGCCCACATACGCACAGGTGATCTGTGGTCAAATTTTGGACCGGGGGGAGATCGTTGAACTTAAATTTGGCAAGTGACAACTTATAGGCAGAAACAGGTCAAGAGCCAGAAGTCAGAGAAATTATATTTGTTCTTGTTCCTCAAAATTCTTCATGCCGATAAGTCGTAACTGAACAGTGACTACTTCGTGAAAACTACGGAGGGCAAAATGTTAACAACAGTGATACTGTCAAAGAAGGAAACATACTTGAAACAACATCTTCGTCTTGCAACTGATGGTTCAAACTGACCTTCTGTGCGTGGGGTGAGAACTTGGATGAACGACCCTATGCGAGTAGTCAGTGGCCACAATCCGCTATGCAAGCAAAATATTATATACCCTGTCAAGAGCTAAGTGTATGTGTGGGCCGACAAACGTTTTACTCACCAGACAAGCCCATTGCGGAAGTTTGAGACGAGTGATTTATGAATACCCAAACAGACGTCCTATAGCGATGTCAAGAAAGTCTATGAAACGATAGCGATGTTACACACTTCGATAGTAGCGCCCTTTCTCAAACATACAGGATCCGACAAGTCTGGTCGTGCACCCCTTTTCTTTGTGTAAACTTTGACAAGCTCTAAGCTTTCCCATATTTGCTCGATAAGGTAGTCCAGACTAGTTGGTGGTAAGACGGGGGAACAGATCTATGGGGAAATAGTCGACTCACTTGAGGTCCATCTCACAACTGATCACGACTGTATTCTCTGTTCTTGCAAGTTTATCTACCTGATATCACGGGTCCTTCAGGATGTCAGAATCAAGTTGGTCGGTTTGTACGGACCAACTCCAGACTAATCGCATCAATCTTGTTATAAACATCTGTCCGAAGTCAGATCTAAGTGGCACCTCATGCCAAGCAAACAAAACATACATAAACAAGGGATATATTTTCGAGTTCCTATAATTTTCCGAGTCAAATGAGCAGTTTGCCTCGGCACACACAGTTATCATACCAATGAGAACATCGATGAACTCGTCGGTTGTTATCTTCCAATAATAACATTGTGAGTGATAGCCGAACGATAGAGTTATTGACATACATCTTCTCGGATCATCACATCACAGTTGTGTAGTTTATCTGCGTCTGGTCAGTGAGGGACATGGAAGCCAAATTCAGGGGGCATACATCCTGCCAGAATGGTGCGAATAGTCTTCTCGTCTGTCTTAGTGAGTTTTACGGTAGTATTCAGCTAAATAATCCATTAGAGGTTTGAATGGCGCATGAATGCAGCTTCAGCGTACAGTTATCTGCAAGTATAATGAGAATGTGACAGGAGACATGAATTAACTACTCACACCACCAGTTGTCCGCCGTTTGAACACTACGTCAGGTTTGCGTTTGTTAAGGCGGATGCCAACTGCATCGAGTTCGATCTCGAGAAGCCGTCGCTGCTCTTCAGACTTTGTGGCGTCGAGCATGATGAGAATAAGATCGGCTGTCTTCGCCGCTGCGCCATACTTATTATCTTTCATTTAAGTAGATCAAGGTACTTACTAGCAACAACTTGTCGCCCTCGACCGCGGCCTACAGAACAATGATATATTTTACTTGGAAAGAATGGGAAACAAACCTTGGCTAGCACCCTCGACAATTCCAGGAAGATCGAGCAGTTGTATACGTGCTCCCTGGTACTCGATCACTCCGGGTATCGCCTAAGTATTCCGTACAAGTCAGCTGTCAATATGGTATACTGGGTGAGAGTTGCTGACAGTAAGGGTTGTGAATTCATATGCTGCCGTTTCGGACGCGGTGTGAGTACATTTACTGAGGAGGGTGGACTGAAGTTCCTCTTCAGATAATATTCGTGCATGTTATGAATGAACTCGCCTTCCCGACAGACGGAAATCCTATCAATGCAACTCGGGCATCTCCTGATTTCTGCACGTCAAACCCGACACCGGCGGGCCCAGACTTGGAGGCAGGCTCGAGAAGCTGGGCCCGATACCGAGCTAGCTTTGCTTTCAGAAGACCGAGGTGATATTCTGTAGCCTACTTGGGGTGAACGTGTCAAAGCGCCTGCCAATCGCAACTAGTGTACTGTCTTTTCGACATGTACCTTGTTCTTCTGGGCTGAGGCATATTGTTCAGGTGCAATACACTCTGAGATACGGAGAAGAAAGACTCACTCCTAGCCATCTCCTCTGCATAATCATCAACTTATCCTCCCTTTTTCAAGAAATGAACCTCCCCACTTTTGAGAACGAACTCGTCCCACTCATTTCCTTCCCGACAAAACTTGCGCAGGCATGTCTCCGCCTTCGGCTGGACTATGTCCAGAAACTTAAAGATCCAGAAGTCCTCATCATCGACCAAGTCACGGAAGATGTAAAGATAAGTTTGGGTCTTGCCTGCACGCTCAAGCGGCAATATGAGGCCTTCCTCGCACCCGACCCAGGCGGAAATTGGAATTTGCCTCAATGCATCACCGATGACTATGATTCCACCATACTTGAAGCGCTCTCTATATTCTTCAGACTCATACATTGGAAGCTCAAGAGCGGGGTTAAAGGAATTTACTTCAAAGAGACGGATTTTATCGAGTCTCAGTGGGCGACTTTCAATGATGTCAGCATGACTGTTGCTGGTGGCCCGCAGTTGGTCGCCGAACAAGTCTGGTCAGTTTGTATCTCTGTTGTGTTCCCTCTTACTAAAGGCATATTTGTAGTTCATTGACAAACAAGCTCATGGTCCGGGTTGCAAATTACTTTGATACTCAAGTCCGACTGCCTTCTGCAGACAAAAAGCCACCTCAACGTCGCGGGTCCGCGAATATCTTCGACGCAGATATCATCGCCAACAATGTGTCAGGCCACATGACTGACGAGCAGAAGGTCAACTGGTATGGCAAGATATTGGACAACGTCCGGTTGCGCTATCGAAAGCTCCAACGTTTTGCACGGTACGTTGAACCTTGATGTGAAGGGACGAATTTTTACTGATAATATTGGGCATATTTAGGGTCTTGACCCAAAGATTCTGCAATTCTGCCGAGTACAACCTGGAAGGCGTCCCCATCGAACAGGTCATCGCAGCTCTTGTGGCGACAGATCATTTTTTGGTCTACACGCGATCGTTTGAAGAAGAAGGGATCTATATCATTGCATCTAGTGCTTTGCGCGACCGCCCAGAAGCCATACGACGCATTCTTTTTGAGTCTTTCCATGCCAACGAGTCTATGAATGACGAGGGTGTCCATGTGGTTGATAGCATGGAGATAATGGATAGTGAGGATGATGACGAGGCCGAATATCTTCTCCTCCTATCTCCTCTAAGTCAATTTCTGTGGAATGGTCTGGTGTTCATGCTCGAACTTCCAAGGATGGATCTTGACATGAAGGACAACCGCTTGCGTCTTGTTGCAGATGGACCCGACCGGCGGCTTGTGCTAGCCAAGGAACAATTCTCAGAGATATTCGTGGACGAAGAAGATGAGCCTTTAGAAATGGTGCTTACTCCTCTGCAGTGCATCATCGAACAACAAGCGCATCTACCCACAGTCAATCGTGAGCTGCGGAAGATAGCTCGCGCGACCAACAAGCTGGCGGAGTCAATAGTGGATTCTGTGCACCACGTTCGATATTCACTGCGCAATGCAGTTGGATACCAGGAGCTCCTGGAGAATTGGTATCTGTTTGCTTCCGAGCATGGGCAACACGCTCAGAAGTACATGGAACGTTCGCCTCTCAGCAAATTCAACCGACTGCTGATACGCCTCGCCATCTCCTGGGTATCATTCATCTGCGATGACTGCGATCCATCAGATCGGAAAACCTTTCGATGGGCCGTGAATGCATTGGAGTTCGCGCTACACCGCACTCGACGGAACAATATATTGCAAATGCCAGATGATCAATTCGAAATGCTGCGGCAGAAAGTAGCTAGCTGCATGACGCTCCTCATCAGCCATTTTGATATTCTTGGTGCTCGGTCCACTTTGGAAGCACGGAAGGAGAAGGAAAGACAAGAGGGACTTCTGCGCGAGCAAGCCTCGATGACTGCCGATGAAGAGCCTGGATTCCCAAGGTCTTCATCGCCTGCTAATGATGACCTCATCAGCATGAACACGTACTCATACACAGATGCTAACGTGCGTCTGTATTGGGAGAAGACGGCAAGGGCGTTATATGCACTTGAAAGCAGTCGAGCACAGACCGGCACAGACCAAAGGGTTGTAGGTCGTGTTCTTGACAACGAGAAACCCGAAGATCGGTCTCTCGTTTTCCTAGCGTCTTCAAGTTCCAATATCTCCATTCGTTGGCAGCAAAGGAGGTTCATTGGGGCTGGGGCATTCGGTTCAGTTTATCTCGCAGTCAACCTCGACTCTGGTTCCCTCATGGCTGTCAAGGAAATCAAATTTCAAGAGCTGTCTGGGCTTCCAAACCTCTACTCGCAAATCAAGGACGAGCTAAGCGTCATGGAAATGCTTCATCATCCCAACGTCGTAGAATACTACGGAATCGAAGTGCACCGCGACAAGGTATACATCTTTGAAGAGTACTGCCAGGGCGGAAGCCTGGCTTCTCTTCTGGAACATGGGCGAATTGAGGACGAGAGTATCATACAGCTCTACACCATGCAGATGCTGGAGGGACTTGCATATTTGCATTCGAAGGGAATAGTCCATCGGGATATCAAACCTGACAGTAAGTCTGAGCATTCTGCGGTTTACACATCATTTGGATCGTTCAACAGATATTCTCCTTGATCATCGTGGTGTCATCAAATATGTTGATTTTGGAGCGTCTAAAATCCTCGTGAAGAATCGCACCATGCAACGCACACGTAGAGGAGACTTCGGCGGCGGGAATTCTACGAAAACTGGTGGCTTTGGCGGAGGCTTAGGCATGAACAGCCTGACCGGAACGCCCATGTATATGTCCCCGGAAGTCATCAAAAATGACAAGAGAGGTCGTCACGGGGCAATGGATGTCTGGTCGCTCGGATGCGTGGTTCTAGAATTTGCAACCGGCAAGAAACCATGGAGCAATTTGGATAATGAATGGTACGACCATTGTTCGTCTCCGATGTAAGGATTGATCTGACGGGAATGGGGCAACAGGGCCGTCATGTTCCACATTGGAGTGGCTACGCAGCATCCACCCCTGCCGGAACCCGGACAGCTGAGCGATCTAGGCATCAACTTCATCAAGCAGTGTCTCATCATTGATGCCATGAGAAGGCCGACGGCTATCGAACTACTGGACCACCCTTGGATGCTCCAATTCGGCGAGACGCTCCTTGGGTATGAGGAGACTGAGTTGGTGACTAGTCCGCCTATAGAGCTGCCGACAGAAGAAACCTATGAGATGGCTACAGTTGCAAGGCAAGCTGCAATCATCCAGGAGAAAGAAGTTGAGGCCATCCAGATACCCTCGCCCACCCTCTCTTCAACAGGAACGCCCACACCCGAAGCTGAATATGAATATGAATATGAATGACGATAACTCATGCATGCTGGTAGTTCACTTAATTTCTGCAACATTCCAATTCACACTTAGCAAACATGTAGCCTTACTCATACTTGTACATCCTCATTCAAATTGTTTTCGTAATTTGTCTAGCTAGCGACATGTACACACGAACTAGTAGCGTTTCCCGAGTTCCTTCTGACCTTCGATGCCAGTTTTACTATCAAAATGCGTCAACATCAGAGAAGACAAATAATCTTTGCACATGACTGTTCCAAATACTATGAACAGCAAGGTGCAGAAAATCAACTGGACGCAAAATCGGGCCACAGGAACTGATGAAAAGAGCTGGAAGAATGATGTGGACCTGAGTCGTTGATTCCGTCATAATTGGTCTCATGGCCGCTCCCTATGATTGTGATGGACCAACGTACGCAACCGCAGTTACCGCACCAAATACCGGTTGTCCGAGGGTATTTCAAAATAGGCCGCAAAAGGAACGCAGTCTAGTTCACAGGCATTCTCAAAGTACGCTCCACGAGAAACTATAATAGTAGGAGTAGTCGTCATGACGGGGGCACGACTACAGAAGTGACACTCACTCCCCTGTATCGAGGCCCAGTTCGCTTTCTGCAACATCGACACAAGAGTCGCGTGATTTCGGTAGACGACTCGTCATTTTTCGTCCGAGTCACCCTTTGGAATCCGACGAGAAACATCGCGACTCCTCCGCTGCATTCACAAAATTGCACATTCTAGCAAGGCGGATCGATACAGTGGGAGAGAATATCTTTTGAATCAATGTCTGAGAAGATTGGTGATAGGCTGTGTGTAAGTTTGACCAACCTTGAACCAGTGCATGGCAGGGCGAACTATGAAACGACTACAGATTACTCTGACAGATGTACGAGTATCGAGATTCATGACGAATCTTGCGCAATTCTCTGAGTAGCGGAAAAGTCGTTGACTGACTGTTGACGCGAACATCGGATTAATCCCCATGGAAAGTCTAGTAGAGTCTAGATGCACTAGGTCGCCGTGGCACTGCGAGGAAATCAAGAAAGTTTTGGGGCAGCAACACAGTGAACTGGTGAGGATGACTGTATTTGGTCGTTACTACGGAATCACGTTGTCACAGGCTCGTGTCATAGTAATGCATCAAACAGGTTGAACTTGAGTAGCGGACCTGTGGTGCATCATCGGTGCAACTGAAGTACCCGCCAGTGAGTAGAGGCATCTGATGTATGATGGGCTCACATTTTTTGAGCGTGGAAACGTCATGGATCAATATTTCCCACACTCCAATATTCCTGCTAGCATTCCGCATACACCTATCTGCGCAGGATCCAGTCTTTCGACTGTGCTTATCGGACCAAACATTGTTTGAACACGTCCATGCTACCATGGCAGATTCCCCGCACGCTATACTGGCTGATGCAGAGACACCGGATGACAACTTTTTGCAGCAACGATTGCACTGCATGCACTCGACGCGAAACGACAAGGCGCTAAGTACGGACCACACGGGCTATATGACCAACAGAAGTCTTCGACCATCTCCTTCACATCTCTTCACCATTTTCAAAACTTGGTTCCGGTGATTTGGTGAGGCGTTGTGGTGACCGTACGCGCTTTCTTTCTGGTCCATGTTGACATCAGCGTTCGCGATATCGAGCACTATATAGTGCTTGTCACGTTGATCTCACCCAGTCAGCCGCATTTCGGCAGCTCTCTCTCATCAAATGCGAACTCGATACAATATGCCGGGTGTGAAATAAAATCGATATTGACTAGGGCTAAAAGCAAGAAGTAAGCTGAGCCTGGTCTAAACTTGTCACGGCGAAATCTGAAGGCACGTTGAGGAACATAGCAAGGCTGGAAAGTAATGAGTTGTAGCTGACTGACCCCCTGGCTGAAGATACTAAGATATATAACAAATCATCTATCAGCAAATCGGATTTGCTTATCGACAGTCCCCATGGTAGGTTTCCGACTAGCCCATTTTCTGGGACACTATTCAAGAACACTTACCCGTTCTGATCCAGATACAATAACTATCTTTAACGTCTATGACTCGACACCACGGGAATACATACTTTAGAGGTATGCTTTCACAGACTGCTAATCCCATTCCCGAACTACGGATACATGATAGCAACCACTAACCACGCCAATGTGAAGCTCCCCAACTCTGGTTGCACGGTGTGATCCCAAAGGCGTCCTATCATGCAGACGTGGCGTTCCTATTGATCAACGTCCATAAGGAAGATACTGCCATCCATGTAGTTCGTACCTCTAGCGCCATAAACAACACATGATTCTGCCATCTGCCACGCTGGTGGAACATCGTTCTGCCAAGTTCTGCCAGTTCTGTCCGCAACACTACGCCCCCCCTCCCCCCGCTCATACTATATCTAGTACTAGTATGAGTCGTAGTTGGGTCAAAGTATTATTTTTTCCCTCCTACCTTTTCGTTCATAAGCACTCGTCACAATGGGTGCCGAAAAGACAGACACCGCTACTGCCTATCACACTAGTAGTAGCAGCAAAGGCGAATTCTCTGACGTCTTAGACCATGACGGAGAGTCTTTTCAGGGGCCCTCGCGGCACACCCTGCAACGTAAACTCAAGAATCGTCACGTCGCCATGATCAGGTGTGTGTTGAATTTTCTTATTTTTTTTTCTGGCGAATTTTCACCTCTGTCAAGTATTGGCGGTGTTATCGGTACTGGTCTTTTTGTTGGAACCGCAGACTCTCTGAGTTATGGAGGTCCCATTGGTCTATTGCTCGGCTACATTGTCATGAGCTCCATCGTCTATTGCGTCATGATCAGTCTGGGAGAAATGGTATGCTTGCTGCACGCCCCAGACGTAGTTCATGTACCTGATCTTCATTTCCGTAGGTTGCTTACCTGCCTATAGCTGGTGGTCACATTAAACTGGCCGAGCGCTTCATTGACCCTGCGTTCTCTTTTGCCATGGGTTGGAATTACTGGTATGACTGGACGATTAGCTGTACGTCCCATTCTTCCTCGTTCATTTCTCACAATTACTGACCTCTTACCTTTTAGCACCTGGTACTTGAATTGAATGCATTTTCTTAGCGTCCCTGCTGACATTCTTTTATCATCTCAGCTGAGATTTCTGCTGCTGCATTATTGATAAATTATTGGAATTACACCGTCAATGATTCAGTATGGGTCGTCACATGTCTTGCCGTCGTTCTCGCCATTAATATGCTCGGTGCTGGCGCTTACGGCGAGGCGGAATTCATATTTGCGTGCGTACTACTACCGTGTAATATATCCCGATCTCCTATTCTGAAATTACTATAGATCCGTTAAGGTCATCACAATCACTGGTGTTATTATTCTCGGTATAGTCATCGATTTAGGAGGTGGTCCAAACCATGACCGCATTGGATTCCGCTACTGGAAAAATCCTGGACCATTCGTTCAGTATAGTGGCATCGAAGGTGCCGAAGGACGATTCCTCGGCTGGTGGGCTGTTTTGACGCAGGCTGCTTTCTCATTCATTGGAACCGAGATTGTTGCTGTACGTTATATTCTATGCTTATCAATCAATATATTGCTTACGAATCTCACTTAGATTGCTGCTGGAGAAGCGAAGAATCCTCGTCATACCTTGCCCAAAGCCATCCGTCGAGTATACATCCGTATATTGCTTTTCTACATCTGTGGAACACTCATAATTGGTTTGCTTGTACCATCTAACAACCCATTACTCAAATTGAACACTGGAACCGCCCGGTCTCCATTCGTCATTGCTATTGAAACAGCTGGAATTAAATCTCTTCCTTCAGTGAGCCGCACATGGCCCTCCTTTTTTACCTAGAAATTTCTCATTGCTATTCAAAACAGATCATTAATGCTTGTTTGTTGACCTCGGCATGGTCTGCATCATCTAGTGCCTTGTATACTTCATCTCGTGCGATTTGTATGTACACTTATCTGGCAGGCAACTCATCGAAATTAATACACTTCGTAGATGGTCTTGCAGCCTCAGGAAATGCTCCCAAGATCTTCCTTAAAACCACGCGCAACGGGTTGCCTTACGTTGCTGTCCTCTTCTCCGCCGCTTTCTCCCTTCTGGCTTTCATGGCTGTGTCCAGTAGTGCGGGCTCGGTATTTAACCGGCTTTCCAACATGTCAGCCATCGCTGGCCTTATGACGTGGTTTGGTATTTCGGTGACGTACCTCCGCTTCTACAAGGGCATGCAGGTTCAAGGCATCGACCGCAAGACGCTCCCTTACTACACAAATCTCCAGCCATACGCAGCGTGGTGGGGAGTAGTTACGACGATCACCATCTGTTTCGTATGTCAACCTTTTCATATCCGCTAATATTATTTAGACTGACTATTCCTCTACTCTCTAGTTTAGCGGATGGGGCGTCTTCCTCAAAGGAAAGTGGAATAGTGTAACTTTTGTCACTGACTATATTCTTCTTATTACCTGGCCAATTATGTACTTTGGTGCTCGCCTCTACTATGGCACAAAGCCCGTTGCTGCAGAGGACATGGACTTTAAGAGCGATATAGCTGACATCGTGGCAGACTCATATGAGGAACCCCCGGTGAAGAACAAGATGGAAGCATTCTGGCGGTGGCTTGTGAGCATAGCTGCTCTATTTGGCAATTTTCATCACTAACGTCACCTCACTCATAGATGTAATTTACTAATGATACCTGCAATAATACCGTTGATTATCGTCAATCATATCACTTTTTCTAAGTCGTGTTCCTCCCAGAGAACGAAGTCTATATCATTTCGCGCAGAGAGAACTTCTCCCTCACTACTCGTACCTTTGGTATTAGCAGTGGCAGCAGCAACTCACAGAAGATGAACGTTTAAGCAGAATTTAGCCGAAGAAGATGGAGAACATCGGCGCACGGTTCTTCAGCTCAAAGAAGCTATGTACCAGCGCGAGCAAATGAAAAGAAGACCAAGCATATACCGATTCCCATGTGGAGACCATTCACCGATGGCGAACGGGCGTCAGTTCGGAGTTCGCTGTGCGCAAACTAGAGTCGATACTTTCTCAGTCTCTGGACTGGTTACAGCATTTGCGAGTTGCTTGCAAATTGGTCGACGTTCCACAAGTGATGGTTGATTGTGCTATCTACACAAGATGCTTACCCGGAACTAGCGAGCGCTGACGACCAGTTCTAAGTCTCTGTCGCGCTTGGAGATGCTTGCCGGTGACTTTCGCTGAAAGTAGAGTAAATGTTCGTATGAATTCCAACCACCTAGTGGTACTGATAAGTTACACTACAATTACTGTTCAAATACACCGGGAGCCTGTGCAAATCGCAAGTGTTATTTACTCGATAATCCAGCGTTTGGAATGTCCAGCAGCAGAGTCACTCCCGACTCGGCTTGAAGTAGTGCTCGTTGAACTATAGGTGCTACCGTTGGACACTTGCCGCTCAACGGCGTTGTAGGATCCGGAGGTTGGGGCTAAGAATGCATCAGGCATGGAAAACTTTTCCCATATAGGAGGAGCGAGCATCTGAGAGGGGGAAACTTCTTGTCCTGCGCCGAACGTGGCGGAAAACGTGGACATTCTCCTATCATCCGTTTGGAACGCGATCTTTTCTAGGTCATCTCCGTAGTTCACGGGTACAAAGTCTTCTGGGATTGGCTCGTCTGCATTGACTGTACCAACCGTATAAGCTCACAGGCAAGAGCAACAAATAGTGCAAACTCACGATAGCGTATAAGCCCCTTGCCGAAGTTAATACGACATATGATGCCCAAGATGAACGCAACAAGAGTCAGGAAGACAGATGAAGAGGTCATCACCCCGAAGAACGTCCAGGTCATGAACGTCCACCGGAATGCGCTGGAATCGAACATTGCTGCCCAGCCTGCAAGGTATCCGACACTGAGCGCAAGAAATACGAACATGGGTATTTTGAGTTCTCGGCGCACACCATGCCAGCCCTGTGAGAGGTGTAAGTTACTATAGAAGCAATCGCAAAGTGAATTCTGACTGCAGTTAACCAAGGAAGTAAGAGCTACACAAAAACGTAGTTAGTGAATGGTTTTGGCGGCATGTAATTTGTTTACTCACTATGAGAGTGACGATCAACAGTGGTTTGAATTCAGGTGAGGTGTCAAGACGCCCGATGTTGCCATTCCAAAGTTGATCCAGCCAAAGTGAGATGGAGACCACCATGAAAAAGAGCGATATCTGGATAACGATGGAGAGCACGAGCACAAATTTATAGACACGACTGATAACCATTGAAGCCCCGACGCGCTTGAAAGTCTGCCAGCCAAAGAGCTGGATGCAATCGAAGTAAAATACATGAGTGTTGTGAACTTGCAAACCAGGATCGAGACTGCATCACCTTGGCAAGCCTCCACGATAGAAAGGAAGAAACCAACAGCGCAACGGCATTCAGCACCAAGCTTGCAATTTCGGCAACAAACCGACTTTTCCAATATGATGGTAAAAGATTGATCGGATTACAAGCTCCATTCGTTGACAGCCTCGAAAAGTCACCATGAAATTGAGCAGTGTTAAATATCTGATAACCTGCCCATCCAGTAGCCAGCATATGTGTCAAAAGAGTTGCGATGCTATGGTCCTCTGAGTACTCTCGCGTCAGACAAATTAGTGCAGCACTCACGTATGAGGGACAGATTCGTTCAGGATCTAGTACAACGTTGTGACAAATGGATGAAGAAAGAACATTATTGTACTTACAGCGACGATAGACATTCCGAGAACCCATATTTGAAAAGCAATGAAGGTCAAATCCTCCCGCTCTGTCTGCTGAAGGCTTCGATGACGTTACATACACAGCGATAGGCTATGGCGAAACGCTTCTTACATTTGAACTGGATAATTCAGAGCCCAAAGGCACTGTCGATCTAAAACAGCTACTTGATTGTTCCAGCCATATCCGTTCACAGTGACTTGTGAGGTGCCATTGATGTCGACAGCTTGGATATTTTGAACGAGGTTGCGTCGATTCAGCTGCTAGTGGCGCGTTAGCTGACTTCTACCCTGAATGGATTACTGACCATTTCAGCAGCACTCTCTCTGCGTACCTTATCAGTGGCGCTTGAAGCTATCGCCGATGAGGTAGTGGTATGCGATGAAGACACAGGGTTTGTGATTGCTGTTGAACTCGAAGTTGCGGTAATCGTTGGTCTTGCAGATGTGATAAGACTTGACATCGCAGAGTAGCTTGAACTCGTTGAACTAGTGGACACCTTCGACCCTGAGGACGCGACAAGGGTCGAGATCATGGAACTTGACGTCCCCGTTGAATATGTCGTAGTAATCATGGGGGCTAATGCATTTGCGGATGTCAGCGAATTGTCCCCAACTGTCGTACCATTCCAGATTACTTGGCAAGAGCTAGCGCTGAGGTCCGCTGGGATACTGTCGCAAAGACGAAGGTCACTCCCCAAAACATAGAATGCGCTCGAATTGATGGTGTCTCCTTGTCTGGTGATGGAAGCCAAGAACTCAGCAGCCCCGACATTGATACGAAAGGCCTGCCCTTGAAAGATGATCTGGAGAACACAGTGAAGAATGGAAAATACGAAGTAAAAAGTGGTTGTGCGTGAAAGAGTTATCCGATCCCACTGTTTCGAAGAGTCAGCTTAGTTGCACGGACAGCATTGTTACAATGCTTCAGGACGCCTCGTTCAGTGGCAGGCTGCCTCTGATAATTTGTACCATAAAGTCACTGCAAGTACTCACCAGTAACTTTATTTTGGATGGGATAGGGATAACATTCCATAGTTGCTTAATGCGCATGACACGGACAACCAGTTGTAGAACTGAACTGTTTTCAGATGCTTTGTTACCCAACCTGGATAATTCATACCGAAATCACGGATAAATGAACGACGATGTCACTAGGACAGTATGTTTGGCAGGAATTCGTTCAAGAAGCAGAAGACAGAAGAGCAACAGGAGAAGGTCGACCGAACTGCTACAACGGTCCTGCCGGGGTGCAGAGGGAAGAATGAAAGTCAGAAAGAGGAATCGATCAAGGAGATATTCTCACAGTCGGCACTTCAAGCACTTTTTGACCTCACTGCCGCCAAGAGGCAGGACAAGTTGATCACACAGCATCTCTACGGCTTGAAGCGCCAATGATAGTTCTCATGAATGTCACTAGTAAAACCTTGACAACACTATGACCTGGACAAATATAGCATGCATAGGAAAGCCTTCTGATATCTTTGATTCATCTGCGGCATGATCGCAGGAGTAGTAACAGAACCAGAATGTTTATTTGAAAATTCCACAAGGAAACCTTGATACATGATCCTGGGATAATGTCAAAGGCCGTGAGGGTAAGTAAAGGCTGTCCAGAGTGGGCTAGCTGGCGTACTCACAACATATGAATAATTCTGTGACATTGTAGCGGTCTGCGTTGACGAGGCCTCAAGCTGCGGTGCCGTAGGAAGGAAGCCTCATGCTAAGGTCAAGTACTAGTAAGTATGTACTTACTGACACCGAGACGTCCTTCAACAATTTCAGCTACATCTTGCATATGCTCGGCGATCTCATGGAATGGGAGCAGCGCTGTAGCAGTGACCAGTGGATTTGAAAGTCCGGTCACGGACTTACGGTTAACCTGTAATCCCTTCGAGACGACCCGTTGCACTGTATCATGTCATACTAAGTCCACCACTTATCATTATCATTTTTTATGTGCAAGAGCTGGGCAACACAAGATTCGACCGCCCATACCGTCCTAACGAGTTCATAATAACGTATAACATTGTATCCGAGCCCTCTTATCATCATGGTAGGTTCTTGCATCACTATACTTCATCTTTGACATCAATCCCCGTTTAGACTGTGTGCACGGATTGTGGAGGGACTGTTATTGAGTACGATGCAGCTGCCGGTAATGGCTTTTGTGTCAAATGCGGAACGGTGGTGGAGGAGAACACCATAGTTTCAGAGGTCACTTTTGGAGAAACCTCTGCTGGCGCGGCCATGGTTCAGGGATCATACGTCGGTCAGGGTTCAAGTAAGTGTTGGTCATAGATGTTCTGCGGACAAAGAACCTCAGTCTGCCTCTGCCAGCGCATGCTCGCATGTCAGGTCCATTTGGTAATAGAGGAAGTAATGAGTCCCGCGAGCAAACTATCGCGAATGGTGAGTCGTTGTTTTTATCGTAGTCATAACAGACCTCATGATTCACTAGCTAGCAGAAAGATTCAGAACTTTGCTGGCGCTCTGCGTTTATCTGAAATTGTTTGTCTTGCGGCAACGCGTCTTTACACCCTCGCCGTTGAACACAAGTTTACTAAGGGTCGCAAAAGCAATAATGTCGCTGCTGTCTGTCTATATGTTGCCTGTCGACAAAAAGAGACACGTAATTACATGCTTATAGACTTCTCTGATCTTCTACAGGTAAGGAATGATGTATTTGTCGATACTAGATCTTATCTCTATTTCCAGGTCAATGTCTTCGAGCTGGGCCACATATACCTCCAACTCGTACAGACTTTAAATTTAAAGCTCCCTCTCGTCGACCCTTCTCATTACATCTCCCGTTTCGCAGCGTTGCTCGAGTTTGGCGAAGAAACTCATAAAGTTGCCACTGATGCCGTTCGACTTGTACAACGTTTTGACCGTGATTGGGTCACTCGGGGCCGTCGCCCAGCAGGAATTTGTGGTGCGGCGCTCCTCCTTGCCGCCCGCATGAATAACTTCCGGCGTTCAGTCGAGGAGATTGTACAAGTGGTGAAGATCGCTGATACCACACTAAAGAAACGATTAGATGAATTCAAGAAGACTCCTAGCGGAGGCCTCACGCTTGCCGACTTCAGGACGGTGTGGCTAGATGAAGAGATGGATCCTCCTGCCTTCACAAAAGGAAAGGAGAAAGAAGAGAAAGAGCGGGAAGAGGCTCTTGGTGGACCGAAAGACAAACCCAAGACCCAGAAGCGGAAAGGCAAACGGAAAAGGAGAGGTAGCGAATCTGAGGGGGAACGGGTGGAACTGGCACCGCCTGTGGAGGAGATCCCACCTCAGATACCCATAATTGACCCAGCCCTGTTCAATCAGGGTATCCTTTCCGGAACATCTGAGCCGGCGCCGCTGTTTTACCCGGACGAAACCGAGGAAGTCTATGCCAATATTGATCCCGCTTTACGTCCGGCGTCAAATGTGATATCTCCCGAACTTGATTCATCAACAGTGGCTGCCATCGATGACACTGTTGATCAGGCCCTCGCCGATGAAGTTGCTAGTTTCTTGCAAAATACGCAGGGCTCACTTCTTCTTGACGCTCTGGACGAAGCTGAGCAGCGCCGACAGGCCCAGTTTGCCGAAGTCGATGATTTGCTAGGATTGGATGAGGACGAGCTTGACAAATTTCTCCTCACCGAAGAGGAGGTAAAAGTCAAGGAACGCGTCTGGGTGGAGATAAACCGGGATTATTTGGAGGCGTTAGCTGGTATGCTTTCTTGATTATTTATGTCCATGACTGAGCGGTCACTTGTTGTAGCCAAGGGCGAACCAGCTGATGTCAATCAACCTAAAAGTCGGAAGGTTCGTATCATGCCATGCACGATATTTTCTCATGAACTTTGCCTTTATATGCTGATACGTTTCGTATTCTTCAGCGTCGCAAAACCAGCACGAAACCGCGTGACGACTCAATTCCGTCTGGAAATACAGCAGCCGAATCAGTGCGGAATCTCATCAAGAAAAATTACAAGTACAGTAAACGTATCAATTACGATGCACTCAAGGACCTTTTTGTTGATGGACCTCAAGCTCCATCCCTCGATGACAAGGACAATTTATATACTATGGATGATAAGAGCGACGGAGAAGGCATGATAGTTCTTGAGGAAGACGGCGGGGGCATTGGAAGTCAACGACCAGCGCCCCGGCCGCGTCGAGAAGAACAAGGTGAGGAAGGAGAGGATGACGAGAGTGAAAAAGGCGACGATCATGTCACTGATGTGGGATGGGAAGATGCGTACGAGCAAGAAGTCTAAATGATATCCTTCACCTAGTGTCAAGGATCTGCATGCTCGTCGTAGATGTGTGCAAGAATCCAAATAATACATGTGCCTCTGTATTGTAAAATAAACGTAAGTCGTCCAAGTAGCAGACGTTTTGAATGTGATCTAGGGGGGTTCCATGGGACGCATCTAACATGCTGAAAGTGCAAGCGAAAGGAAGAAACGGACTAGATATCCTGCTGCTCTATGATGGTGCAGTCTGTTGTTCCTTGGCCTCCCACATTGTTCTGAGCACGTCCGAAAATCCAGCTTTACCTGAAATAGCGTTTTGCTCGAAGCGCTGAACCAACCAATCCTCGAACTTGTCTGTCATACTCCTCCACATAGCCATCCGCGCCTGTATCTCTGCTGTCTGTATGAATGATGTCTGGGTGGAGGACATTGGTCTATACTGTATTCGCTCATAGCAAGTAGCGAATTGGGACAGCGAGAGGTTGACGGACGTTATCGTCGCGGTTTGCGTTGCGGGATCTATGAAGGATATCTCACGAACAAAAGCATCCTCCGAGCCACCAAAGAGCTAAAAACGATCGAATACAAGAATTAGTTACATGTCGTGTGCGGACATGAGAGCGGCTGACCTTGACTATCCATGAGGGCGTCTTTTGTTTGCACCCAAGGACACGCTCCGTCCGTATCACTCCAGTTAATGGATCAATCGTACGATCGAGAACATCGACGTTAACGACGTGAGTACAATGTGGGTTCGGGTATTTGTGCCACATTCCAATGACGACGTGAGACCATGAATGACTGGAAATTACATAGTGAACACGCTGTAGAAAATTGCGATGAACAGAAGATACTCACTCATACTTGAAAGATTGGGAGAAGATGTGCATGACGGGGCGGAAGTGGGAGAGGTGGTCGACTGGCTGTGCGGAGGAAACAGGACGACGATATACCCGGCAGTGCACCTCCACTGTATAAATTTGCGATTGGTTCCGGCACGCCGCGGCATCTCGGCACCTTACCCGCGTCCGAATAAAATCTTGCTTTAAATTTATCTGATCGGTCCCACTGATTAGATAGGCACCTGCCTTTGACTTATCGGTGTGGTAATTATGATAATGATATCTGCCTTCTACAGTCAAAATTACTACATACTTCTATTTGCATCCGCAATAAGTCGCAGTTCGGCGAGACGTAGTTTCATCTTCGGTCTACAGCAAGATGTGAAAAGACTTTTCAACCTGACGACTAAGCAGGGCACTCACATTTCAAGCAGTTTCGTCTCCAGATCCTGCTTCTCTTCTTGAATGGCCAAACGTTTCTCTGCATCCAATTGCGTGCTACAAGGACAGCTAAACTGGCATTTACAGTAAGAGATGAAAATGAGACGCACAAGATATATCCGCCCTGACCATCCAGTTGCAAGATCGTCGAGTGATACTTCCACAGTGATGGACGATGAGATACGGTGAGTAGCGTAATTCCGAGAGCAGTTGCCTGTTCCATCATTGTACCCTCCATGTCAGGAGGGACGAGTGAGGTTGCTTCATCGAGAATGGCATACTGCAGCCAGCTGATTAACGTTCAGTGACCAGAGTAAGGTATGTGATTACCTTGGGTCTGTGATAGAAGAGTCGCGCCCAAGCGATCTTCTGCTTGTCGCCTCCGCTGAGCGCATCTCTCCACTCGTGCGCAACATCCCAACCCCCTTCTCGCTCAACGATGCTTCCCATCTGGACCCTTTCAAGTACCGCGAGGAGGTCCGCGTCTGTCACTCCACCTAGGACACGTCTTATAATTAAATTTACAAACGCGATATTATTCACCCACGGGCCTCCATATCTTGTTGCGAGTGCGGATAAATAACTTGGTCACGGAGAGTTCCGACAGAAAGATAAGGTCGTTGGGGTATGAGCATGAAATTTGACGCGGGGGGCTTCCGAACAATACCGCCTGGAGACATGGTGAAACTAATGCATCGCCCGAATATATCAAGCTCACCGTAAACAGGCCAAAGGCCGCCCAGGATGCGGAACAGCGAAGACTTCCCAGAACCTACATTGTAGTGAGGCGACAACGATCACGAAATCAGTGATGCATACCATTTGGACCAACAATCAACATGTGTTCCTTCAAATTTTATTTAGCATAAGACACCATACATACGCGTTGCATATGATCTTACCCCAGGTTTGACATGGAAGGTTAAACTTCTCAAAAGAATGTCCCCATTTGGCGTAATGATTGGGACGCTCTCAAATTGAATATCGTCCGAGAGGAGAACTTGTCCACGACTTCGCAGAACTAAGGGTGTTACATTTAGTGCTTGCGTTACGAGTGAACTAGTCACGTACTCTCTGCATTCTCTCCCTCAGTTGCACCGCTCACCAGACTCTTCTGGAACTTGCCCTTTCGGATGTCTGACATAGTGTCAAGCAAAAGGGAAACTCGTGAGGTATAGCCCGCGAGTTCCGCCAGGTCTTTATACGAGTACATCACGCGACCTATGGCATCTATGAATGCATGTCAGCAGTAAAATATGAAGGATCAAATGATTTCACCTGATGAAGAAAGAAGTAGTCTTCGGTTGGTCACGAAACCTGTAGAACGTTGAGTGCTTGGTATTGGGGTGACTATTATAACTCGCCTTCTGTGCGACTACCTAAGTCAAAATTTGATATTCCAGGCAGCTTGAAGAAAACAGGGATTGCACAGACGACAAGCTAAAATAGTTGTTATATTGTTCCAATTCATTGCTTGACGAATACATACCCCAAAGCTGCCCCACAGCCATTTGACAATGCCTTCTTCCGCGCACCCGTACCACCATCTCTTATTCATTACTCCTTGTTCATGTTGAACGAGTGCAGCATATTCGCGTTCGATTAATTGCTTCTCCGTCTCCTCGCCACCAAAAAAGGCAATCTCCTCTGCGAACTCGGAGAGGCGAGAATGTGTATGTCGAAGTGAGCCAGCCAACGCAGCTGACCGAGCTGTGTATGTCCCAAAGGAGGGAGTTAGAACACGTACTGCATTTGTGTTAGCTGATTATATGCGCTCAATAAAAATTGAACTTACGTAGCGCAGCAGATGCCTGAACTAAAACAGTGAGAAGGACAAGACCCTCTGCCCCTACATTCTGTGACAATTGGTAGTTGTAAAGTATCACGTCAAGGATTGGCTTCGCAAGGTTCGCGTAAATTACGGCAAGGTGCGTGGAGAACCGTTGTATATCGTGAGTTATCATTCTGTTCAAATCTGAGATCGATGATGTATTGTTTGATCTATTAGTTCACTCACTGATCAGCATTCTTTATCCTGTCGTCAAGATTAGCTGGATGACAAGAGTCACTGAGATATTCCACTGAGAGAGTAGGGAGAACTAACAAAGTTTATAATAAACTTTGCCCTCTGGGCCATCTGCTTCGTCGCCAAGGTACATCTTAAGCACTTCTTTAGTCAGTCGAGTACGATATGCAAGAGCGAGCTTATTCTGGATGTAGCTAAGCCAGCTATTCGTCCAAGTAGCTGGAATTGCAACGAGCAACCATCGTATAATGTTGAGGAGAAATTGGAGAGACTGTCCGCGTACGAGAGACGCAACAATTCTATAAGGATCATACATGACACTTCAGAACATGCTGATTTCAAGTTGTTTAGAGAACGTACTTTCCGTCTAAAGCGGCAACATACAACGAGATGGCAGTGCGGAAAATGAGGAGACTTGAATGCATGAAAAGCAACAGGGCCTCCTTGGAGTGTATGTTTGGTATGACAATACGCAAGATCATGCCCAGCCTTTGATAAAATACGGCATCAACCTTGCGGGCTAATATGAGTGTATGGCCGCGATCAAGGCAAGAGAAGCGTACGGCAACACGGGCAGGCTTTCCGTTCTTTCGATCTGCCGCGTCCTTCTCTTTCTCCTTCTTTGTGGTTTGGTGGGCGGAAAGACCACGATATGCGGCCGTTAGCACGTACAGAACGAAGCCAACCGTAAGCCCTCGTTGTACCTGAGGCCGGTGCGCGGCATACACCTGCACGAGTTGTTTTACTCGCTGATCCAATGGGCGAAGCTTCGAGGTTACCATCCTACCCCGAGTGCGATTACCACTCTGCGAATTAAATGACAGTGACAAGTACTAGCCTGAAGCGCGCCTACCGAGAAGTGCTGAGGGTATTGGTGACATGTGATAGTCTATATAAGCTATAGCGCCAGCTAAAGTGGCAACACCCGCTACCCGTTTCGAACGTTTCAACAGAGTTATATCAAAATCAGCAAAAGATAGCTCTTGCCTGTCCTTGCGATTGCTTTCAGCGGCACATGCAAAGCGAACAAAAGTAGCCAGCGCCTCTGAAGAGGTTTGTTCACGAAAGATCTCTATCACGCGTGCTTTTCTTTCCGCTGACACAATGCGAGGCCAATCCGACGCATATTGAGCCCGCTCCTTCTCCATTGCAACGCCTTCATTCTGAGATCGCTTACCCTTGACAAGAACGTCTATATACGTTTTAAGGCGTTTGCGCAAGCGCGAAAGACTTTCTCCTTCATCAAAACCAATGTCATGGCATCACAATAAGCGAATCAAAGGCTTACACGCGATAGTTTTGCGCAACGAACTTAAAACACGAATTTGAAGATTGACAACCTCTTGGCTCGTGTCAGGAGAACTATGCAAACTGTCTATTGAACTATGAGTCCTGATATCATCGCCATCAACATCCTCGGTGCCCAACTCATCGCTGATATGAGCACAAGCGACACGAGAATCGGCCGCATAGAGTGTACATTTACCCCTCGATACATGGTCGATAATCCTATCCAACAACTGATCCTTCGTACCCACAAAACACAAACCGTGCCAAGACGCTATAGCTTCCAAAGAAGGCTTGGACATATGCTCTGTCTTGGAAAACAACGACTGGAATGTTTGAGACACGCGCTCATATGCGCTGCGGCTACGAAAGATTTTCAGAATGCTGATAGCTTTTTGCCTAGGATGTAATTCTTGAGCGCGAGTGCACTCTAAATCGTTACAAATACTCTGCGCAATAAACCAAAGGTCGCCGCCTGATATAACAGAAGCATCCCCTGACATCAACTCGTCCAGTATGAACTCAACTAAATTCGAAGGCGTGCCAAACCCTGCCGCGACCTCACGACATGCAGTGTAATCACGATGCTTGGAGCGTGTGTCCGAAATGACGCATTCCCCGTGGAGTAGATGTTGCAACAACGATTTTCGCAACTCGAGCAAGGAATATGAACCCTTAAAGTCTAAACCGTGCAGAGTACATGCCTGCTCAAGCAACGCAAACTTCGGACGACAAGGGACCCAAACGGACCCCCGAACGACACGATGCAAAAAATATATCATGCACGATAGACTTTGAACGTCTGCGAGACGATAAAACTGCCCCTGCTAGGGACGAAGACTGAGATAAATCTACGGGGCCACTGACAGCAGATTCTGGCAAATGGCTTGCATCACCACCAAGTATACACAAAGTTACTAGAAACACAAAACAATATCAGAAAAAACCAAAAGATTCAACCATGATGTACTATCACCTTGCAATCCAGATGCGCCGCGAGAATAAGGATTGTGCGCAGGATGCTCGTCTTCCCGACCAACAGCGTGCCACGCAGCAATCCAATTCATCCCAATTAAAACATCACAATCAAGACTGCGCACGACCTCAAACTCAACGCCAGTCGTGAGCGCACGGCCATCATAGGAAGCCGTGAGAATGTCAGAGAAACGAGAACCCGGTGCTGGCGCTGAATGACTGAGGTCATGAGCAACTGGAATAGATACAAAACAACGACTCGAATCAGTATTGAAGACGACAGAGACAGGGAGACGGCCGATGAACGAGGTCATGATGGTGAGAGCGCAAGAGGGGTGTAAGCATGAGAGCTCGACAGCGATGCGGTGATCGAGCAGGCGAGAGCTAAAGGCGGTGTAGAACGATCGATCAACACAGCCTCATTACCGTCTAAGGCGAGAAAGAGAGGGGCGGCAAGATCGTGAAATCTACCGCCAAAACGTGAAAAATAGCGAACTATAAGACCCACTCCCTAAAGGTAGCGGGAATATTTTTGCCTCCGCAATAAACTTACAACCTTGCTTACAATTACTATATTTAGCTAGAATGACTAAGCAGGTGCCTTCGGGGGTTGCTTGGCGCTGACCCTAGACAGTGCGCGCTCGTCGTGGTCGGAGGTCTCGAGGAACCCAACGGAAATGGAGATGTTCTTAGAATGACAGCCAAGCAATGTTATTACCGGGTCGGCAACCGAGAAACGCATGCTGTCACGGTCATCATTGAAACCAACCCAAAAATGGTACAGTACCCCCGGATGATGAGCCCACCAGGACACTCACGGGCACCGTTTCCATCCGCATGGAAGAAGCACAGACTTTTTGTTGTTGGCATTGACACACGGAGACGCCAAATGTGTTTTTGATGTGGAACACAGCGTACAGTGTACATACCCAATTGCAGCTGCGCATGACTCGGAAACAAAATGTCTCCTTCCAAACTAGACTCGTGACCCGACGGCAGGCTCGGGGGACCTCACAGCCACAATTTAGACTCGTGACTAGTCGGTCTAATGAGGCAAGCCGTCGATTAGACAGACTGGTAAATCTGGGTTTGAATTTGGATAGTGCGCGGGTTCGTCAGGTAACGTGATCTGTAGCCAATGGGAAAACTGAAAATTTTGACGTGAATACTAAAATTATTGTTTGAAATTTTGAAATTTGACGCAACGCGTCGCGTCAAATGCATGTATCTGCGCTACAACTTCAATGGATGTGAATGCTGTCATTCAAGCAGTGCGACAAGCATCATTAGATGGTCTAGATTCCTTCGCTCGCTCGCTGATAGGAGAACGGCTTCCTACCGACTACATTCAATCACTCAGTAACACAGACAGAACAGATGCACTTCGTGCTTGCTTGCTTGTGTACATCCTTACAGCAACTTTGATCGTGCCACGAGAGTTTCAACTGGAGGCTGCTCTTGCAACACTCAACGGCCGCGACAGTGTAATAACAGCAGGTACAGGCTGTGGGAAGACACTGTGTCTCATCCTGCCAATTATCCTCCGTCCTGACACCATCAGTATGACGATTTCGCCGCTGAAACGCCTCCAGATTACCCAGGTCAGACCAAAATTTGGCTTTTTAGGTACTGAGTGCGACAAAGAGCTCACCAGGTGAAAGAGTGTCTGAAATATGGCATATCTACAATATCTATCAACGAGGACACTCCAAATGATGCATCACTATGGCAGGTACACCCAACATGAAAAGCTGTTGATTTCGCTGTGTAAGGGGATACTTTAACTCATGTTTTCAATCAACAGTCAATTCGTACTGGGAAGTTCAACCATTTAATTGTTTCGCCAGAGCAATTGTTCATTTTCATCCCCTTCATTGTTGGGCCATCTTTCGGTCATCTTTTCTTCGACTTGGAGGAGAAAGTCCGAACAGCAGAGTGTTTCGAAGAGGCTGATTCAGTTCAATAGAGTATGGATCATAAATAGAGCTTGAATTCAAATAAAATGCTGCACTGCAGCAGCCGAAAAGAGTACTGGTCGTTTTCAGAGACGACAACTCGTCGACGAGCGACAGAACGTCATGATAATGTATGATCGAACAAAGTACATGAACTTAGCTACTGTCCCAAAAAGAACTTATCTGTCACGTTACCTGACGAACCCGCGCACTATCCAAATTCAAACCCAGATTTACCAGTCTGTCTAATCGACGGCTTGCCTCATTAGACAGACTGGTCACGAGTCTAGCCACAATTTCCTTTTGTATTTTTCGCCCTACGTTGCTTTTGCCTTATCGATTCGGCACATTTCATCCGAAAAACCAAGGCTATGGATAGCGAATTGCAATAACTCTTGACTCTTTGTCTCCTCTGACTAGATACAGGTCACCGATACCGCCATGTCTGTGAACGATACCTACCGAGCGTCCAGCCCAGAGCATGAGCCAGAGCTCACTGCAGAAACTACCGCCGAGCAGATTGCAGAGCTCAAGGAATCTATACCCCCCTCCTCTGCACCTATCATCGCGGTTGATCTTGATGACGTGTTGAGCTGTACCAATGCTATCGTAGCGAAATGTACGTGTATTCTACTCATCTACATGAGGAGCACTGGGTGCAAGCTAGTTTGTTCAAGGGCACAATGAGACTCATGGTACCCAGATGACCACCAATGATTTTTACTGTAAGTCATGAATTGACATCTCCCTGTGCATCATGGTCACGTTGTGCAGACTACTTCTACTGGAAGGTAAGAAGAACGTATTTTATTGATGCAGTGATAGTTCATATCCAATCTGTCTGTTCCTCCAGAATCCATTTTGGGGAACGCCTCACGTCACTCGCACGAAAGTCAAAACATTCTACACCAGCGGTCTGATGGCGCAGGCCCAGCCCGTACCTGGTGCACGCGAGGGCGTAGAGGCCTTGTGTGCGCTGGGCTATCGCTTGATCATCGTCACGGCTCGAGGCAAAGATTCCCATGCTGACAGCTGGGCCTGGGTCAAACGTTGGTTCCCTGGATGCTTTCATAGCATGATATGCACTGGCCAGTTTGCGAATTCTCCAAAGCATGCGACAGATGGCGTAGACGCCTTGGCGGGTGCACCAAAGGAACATGAGGTCGCCACGCGGTTGAGCAAAGCGGAGGTCTGTATTGACATTGGAGCCGAATTGCTGATCGACGACTCGATGGAAAATGCGTTGGCCTGCGCATATCATATTCCATTAGATGGAGTAACAAAGCCTCCCCCGGTACTCCTTTTCGGCTCATATGAGTGGAACAAGCGATTATCAGTGGCTTCTGATGAGTGCGACGATATGGTTTATGAAGTTCGTTTACAAAGAGAAGGGGGAAAGTTCCTGGAAGAGGATGTGGAGCGAGGGGACAAGGCATTGGAGCAAGCAAACACCCATCTTTCGGTGCGCCGGGCTAGAGACTGGAGTGAGGTTGTGCGATATGTCGCGGAGTTGAAGGGCGGCCGTTTGTAGCTTCATGGATGCTGTAGGTGGCTATTCATTCATTTCTAACATCGGTTACTACTGATAGGTCCTACTCGTTTTTCAAGTATGAAGCACTAGGTTGCATCTCATACAGATCATTCTTTGTACAGGTTACAGATATATCATATAGACCATTCTTTGTACCGCCGTCTTATCACGCAACTTCTCTGATCTTTCCCGTCTCAACCTCGTACACCCATCCAGTGATATTTCCTTCCTTCAGAACAAGCGGGTGATTCTTCAAGAACGCGACATCATCTTTCACACTCCTATCTAAATCAGGGAAGGGTCCAAACTGCAGGTCGTTCACCGCCTCGGACACATTGGTATCTCCAGGATGTGCATTGATGACCTTGGATCGAAGTTGCTCGTCGGAAAAGGTGAGCATTCCACAATCAGAATGGTGAATGACGATCACATCTTTAGTTCCGAGGAGTCTTTGTGAAATGATAATGGAACGAAGGGATTCTTTGCTAAATATAATGGGAACTCATTCAGCAGAGCATAGGAGTTGTAGTATGTTTTTGGCGTACGCAAGGCCCCCAGCATTCCGAATAATGTGTGCTTCCCCTAAATTCAGGCCGAGGAACTCTTCAGGACTGTTCGACGGTCACTGTCTGCGGACACGCCTCCTTATCAATTACAACTCACTTAAGGCGAGCATCCATGCAAGTCACTATCGGTGAGTCAGCTGAGCTCTCACAGGTGTGCTGGCAAGTACTTACCGACAACAAGATGCTTGGATGGTGGAATGCTTAATCTGCCATTATCGCCGAAGCTGGCAGCGTAGCTCTCGTTTGCTTGCTTAAAGTTAACCTCAGCCATGGGAGTTCAAGATAGAGATGGAGTTCTGTAGCGTGGGGTATTACTCTGTGAATAGTTCGTCTTCTCCACTCATTTTGACGCCATCGAGTGTCTTTAGTACTAGATGGTCCCACGAGTCCGTGTGTCTGCGCGGTAACTCTCCACTGGACTCAACACGTCGATTTTCGAAAAATAAACTAGCAGACGTTGTACTTTCGATGTCACGCTGTCAAACTGTCAAAGATTTTTTATTTTTTATTTGTGCGATGTGGAGTAATAAACGTTTTGCCAACAATGCGCGGACTCCCTAGTATGGGAAGAAGAACTCGAGTCGCGATTAGATAACCACGTGGGCATAATCTGAATTTGAAATTATGTGGTCCACCTACAACGTGGTGACCAGTGAGATTCAGTTTAGCTCAGAGCCTCAGACCATCCGCAATGTCCTCACAGAAAATACAGCGCCTACTTGAACCACCTAACGTATCTGCTGCGCATCGGTCTGCACTAGAGTACTTCAACTCCAACTTCGCTCACATCGACAACCTCAATGGGATTGACCAAGTCCTGTCACAAACAAAAGCACGGAGTTCAGAACTACAGCGTCAGGTGGGTTGAATAATTCGAATGATTCATGATAGTTTATTCGTTGTCAGCTAGCTCTCTGCATCTCAGCAATCAATCGACTCGCTGATAACGAAGACTCGCGTGGCAGCACTTGCTAACCTTGACACTGCTCGTGGGCTCGCGGAGGACAGAGAGTCAATAGAGAACGAGATGACTTACCTCTCATATG